TTAGTATATTAGTTAGAGGAGAACATAAAGCATCTGCACATTGTTTTAGAACATATGCAGGTATGCTATCAGGGCCAAGACTATGTGAGGGCTTAAGAGTTTTAAGACATTTCAAAACATCGAGAGTATTGAAGTCCTGGAAGTTATCAGCTACAAGATTGGTAACGTTAGAAGTGGTTATAGTAGAAGGAGAGCGTAAAAAGACAGATTAAGAGCATTAACATCACAAGAGGGAAAAACATTACATCGCTTACTTTTGCCAGTAATTTCATTGAAAAGTTTCCACATGCTGTTAGGAGATTTGCATGATAAAAGTGTTTGGTTATAGATAGCATTAAGATTTTTGATTTCAGATTTGATTTGAGCATTAATCTTTTTAAGTCCTAACTTGTCTTTGCATTTATATAACATTTCTTTTTGCCTGCGAAGTTGTTTGAGATGGGGAGACGAGAAGCGGTCGAGGCGTTTGAACAGTGTTTGTTTGGGACAGCATATGTCGAGGCAGAACTTAAGATAATCCATTATATTGGTGATTGAGTCATCTAATGTACTTTCATAGAATAGATCCCAGTTGGTATCTTTTAACATGCATCTTAGATTGAGTAAGTTGTCAGATGTGTAGCATCTTTCTTGTGCTTTCGTAGACAGGTGTGAGAAGATTTTAATATGTGTTTTGCTGTATATTTTTGGCAAAACGCGGACAATGCAGTGATCGGAGTTATGTATCGGTGAACGTCTACGTGTTTCATATACTCCTTCGTCATTAGTAAAAACGAGTCGAGTGTTTTGTCAAGTCGAGTGGGAAATTTGACTATGTTTGTGTGACCAAGAGCTTCAAGAAAGGAGCAATCCGATGTGTTGAAGTCTCCAGTAATAACGGATAGAGAGTTGTCGAAGTTGGCAGCAGCAAACATGGTGAATTCATCAGCAAAATTAGATAGATCAGATGGAGAGCAACTAGGAGAAATGTACATGTTTGTAATATAGAATTGTTTATACTTGGGGAGGTGTTTGGGGCGACATTTGACAGTAATACAGTCAATGAAGTCATTTGAGAAGGTGAAGCAGACGTTATTTGAGACAGACCATTTGGAGTGAATAAAAGTTGCAACGCCACCACCATTTTTCTTATTACAACAGTGACGGTCTTGACGAAATAAAATAAAGTCCTTTAGTGAGATAAGGTTGTCATCATACAGTTCATGCAACCACGTTTCTTGTAATGCGATTATGGCGGTGTTATGATACGTATCAGTTGACATCAGGGATTGTAGGTACATTATCTTATTTGGCAGAGAGCGACAGTTTGAGTTCATTATGACGGGGACCGTAGTTAAGTGTATTGGTGTACGTTTGAGAGCTCTCTGCCAACCACTACGATGTTTCCTTCTTGGTTTCTTTGGAATATGAAAGTCATTTGGTCGTAAATCATTAATAAAGTTACGAGAGTAAATGATTCTGTTAGAATTCATATTAAGTTAATAAATGTATGCTGGTAAACAGTAAACTGGATGCAAAATGTAGATATTTTGGTAGCAGGCCCAAATATTCGAACAGGCCGCCAAGGTCAGTTAGAAGTTGCTGATGAGACGATGACTGGTGGATTGATGACTCCCGCGAAAATATGGAGGAGTTGGGTTTGAGCAAACAACCATGAATTTATCGATCAATCTTCAACTACACTGACAGTAGATTTTCAGTAAGTGAAGGGGTATTATTACCACAAGAGGGTCTAACCTGGTATTGTGGGAGCCCAACTGGCTTTCACGGAATGAAGACTGGGATACTTCATAGTTTTTAATATGAATTTCCTTCTGGACGCATTGCACTCATAAACAGAATAAAGAGATTCAGAAGCGTTTTCGGGATGAGCACGGAAAAATTGTAAGTGTAAAACAAGCTTGAAAGTACCGACCTTCACTGTGATAACTCTACCAGTTTTGGTGTGATCGGCACACATCAGAGTTTCCCTGAAGTGAGATGGAGTGACATCGCCAGAAAACTTAGAATGGCTGAATAATAAATGAGATTTAAGTCTCTTAACTACGAATGACAAATATTGCGAAGGTAGGGCACTTTGTTTGAAATTAATAAATGAAAAAAGCCTTGAACATTCAAAAATGTCTCTCTAACGGTTAAGACTTTCATTGGTGCTGCATTGAGAACAGAGAAACGTATCACGGACCATTAACATGCTCTGGCAGATACTGTAAGTGGGAAGTCTCTATTAGCGAATATTATGTCATTCGCGGTAAGTGCGGTTCTACCACTACAACTGAGGTGTATTAACTCACGATGAAAATTTCCACTCATTACCAAGGCTCTCACTCGCTCAGTCTCTGTTGGGATTGACAATATGCCGCTGTTAGGTGCGAAGTCATGATTGACTCATGAGCCGAAATGACGACCTGATCGGTTTTATTTTGCAGTATTTCTGACGTCATGCAGTGAATCAGATATCGATTTTTATTTACAGCTTGAATTTTCCGGAGGAATTCTAAACTTTAAATATATGGGGTTCGGGGTAGCAGTAAGATTGTCCATGTTATCGCAGCTAAATCTAACTCTTATGTTTACATCGATGCAGGGTATATTTTTGGATGATCAAGGTGTCAGGAGGCGGATTCTAACGAACCTAAAGGATAACCGAGAAAAGGTGACACTCCGTTGTGACAGTCTCCAAGGCGTCGAGTATGCCCCTTTTAGGCAGCCATATATTGTCTATTTGCTGGGGCATCTTCTGTTATTTAAGGTAAAAGTGGTTGAATGAATCAGATGGCAAATGGATTCTGAGGCATCTAGGTATATGAGCAATTAACGTTTGTGTGGTAGTTTATTCTAGATCTTTTAAATTCCTCACATGGTGCACACCGACAATACGGAAAGTGGGGACGTAGACTGGGTGGCGTTTTCATTTACTGATTTCCCACATACGACCACCTGGTGCACTACATATTACAAAGCATATCTCCCCTCCTACTATGTATATGCAAGCTTTTGTCAGCCAGCTAGTTTCTCACCAGGAAACACGTTAAAGACTAATATATTCCTAAGGAGAATGTTGTGTGTTCGAAATGAGAAGACATCAGCACTCCATTACCAGGTTGAAATTGGGAGTATCTACGTGATACTACTGAGGTCACGGTAAAATTCTTAGGCGATGGTCATTATATAGTCCCCTTCGCTTAAATGTGTTCACCTAGCAATCAAAAGCAGTGATACTTGTCAAAGAGCACACATCAAACTGAGATACAACAGTACATAATCGTTGTTCTCTCAACGGGGGGGAGAAACACGTGTAGAATAAAAAACAATTGCTGTCGGAATGCTGTTAAGTGGTCAACGCAATACTCATGGTTGTTTTAACTTGAGAGAATTGGTTTATTAATTCAAGATAGAAAACCGAACAAGTATTGACTTCCTGGTACCTACAGAGAGGGTCCAAACTGGATTTGACTACGGTAATAGAGTTGACTTTCTTCTGGACGAAGTGCCTACATGCACCACGAAATTCTCAGTGCTTTTCGCTATGTAACATCGATACTTCGTGCTATCTCCAAGTGAAACAGTAAGCAGTAATATGGAAAGTGATGCAGTGGTGTTCAGTCTAAAACAAAAATCAATCCCTTCTAAAATTCGTCCTCGTTTCCACCGAGAAAGGACAGTTGGTTGATTGCCGATTAAAGGTGCGTATAAGTACATCCAGCGGACCAATTGCATGATCGAAGATAATGAGAAATTGGGAAAATTTGGAGCGCTATGTCGAATAAAAACTTAAACAGACCAATGAATGAGACATGCCGACACGATAGATTTCTTGGAGGATATGACTTTGGCATGTAAACACAAAAGAATAATTTTTATGGGAAAACCATCTGTAGTGAATTTAACCCTGGATACTCAGAAACTTTCGAGCAAAACTTTGACGGTTCGGAGAGACATCCTTTGCGAATTAATGTCACGAGATCCCCACTTAAAATACTGAAGATTATAGGTACATGACTGGCGAAGATCATAGAAATCTACTCACAGTTTTGAAAAATTGATAATGGATTTATTCCTCAAGGTCAGATTTAAAGGCATTGTGGTCGCGATAGACTTGTAAAAATACCAATGACCTCATTTTGCTCTGAATTATTCTACCATCCCATAAGAAGGCACAGGTTGCGCCCCCAACGTCGCTTAGCAGAGATATTAAATCAGCGAAATTTCTACAAATAATGCCGGTAGACAAAACAGTTTTGGGTTAGTGGGGACACGGCAGCTATCTGTGGAAGGTGTAGGGATGTGTTGGTGGCGTGAAGCAGGCATTTTCGACTCAGTATAAAAAAGTTTTTCCTGAAACTCATTTAAATATGGTCAAGAAAGAGATCCATAATTACATGGAATCACTCCATAGTCTGCAGCATAAAAATTTTCCACCGTCATTCAAGAAAGCTAAACTTAGTGGAGCAATTTGGAAATCTGATACACTTCTCTCTATCAGTTGAATTCCACAAACTGACTTAGTATAGGAAACTTATTATCTTGGTATTTCGGGTGAAATAACTGTGTGAGATCCTAGTTATAAAATCCTTTTATTTTCAGAAATGATATTAGAAAACATGAAAACGAGTGTAGTCGCTTTCAGCTTGAAATCTACGTTCCTAACCATCAACTAGATGGTAAGACTTAAGGAACTTAAATGACTGTCCGATCACATTACCTAAGTTATGCCAAATTAAACGCAACAAATGCTGAGAATTCCATGCTGTGTCAGAAATACTGTTTTGCCACAAAGCAAATCAAAATGTATGACTGCATAACATTTACCTTTTATAGAGACTGTCGGAATTGATGCAAAAAAGAGACTGAGAGAAAGGTATATTTTGTAGAGGGTTGTAGTTCCGCATACTTATGTTCATCAGAATATGTGACAGCTGTGAATTATCGTTATATTACATAAGTGGGCCAGGTTGATTTCTCAAGGTCGTCAGGTTGTAACTTTGAATTCCACACATATGGCAGATGTTGCATTTGATCATATAACCCAAGAGGTCAGGGGAACAGTATATCCTGGTAAGCTCAGGCTCAGAGAAGATGAATTCATGTATAAAAATGAGAAAACCGGGAAAGTGGATCATTTCTCGCGGTCAGACATTGAATCAGCTCAGTGGATTGCTCGTGCTGCAGGGTTGGGTCTTCGCATTAAATTGAGAAACAGCTCTCTGTACCGATACGATGGGTTTGGCGAGACTGAGGCTGAAAAAGTGGGGGCATTTTTCAAAAAGTACTTTAACGTGGAAATTGTGAAACGTGAATTATGCTACAAAGGATACAATTGGGGAGATGTAGACTTTGATGGTAACCATAATTTGTACAGTTTTACTTTTTAAGGCGATGTCCTGGAGTTTTCAGTGAAAAACGCAATGTGTTTTGAAGTTCCACTGAGTAATGTTGCTAACGCTGTACTAAATAAGAATGAAATTATATTCGAATTTCACCCGAATGACGAAGCTGAGATATCTTTGTCAGAAATGCGTCTGTATACCCCCGGAACGGAGGCTGATCGAGAAGGCAAAGCCCCCTTAATTTACTCTAAAGTCACTCAAAAGGCAGATATCATTCAGGTAAGGCACCCATTTATTTTATTCAGGTACCGTAGGTCACCGGCGAGTTCCTGATTGAATTCAAACAGTTACAATGCCTTCAACCTCGTGGTCGTTATGACATCAAGTTGTACCCAAGTTTTATTCACTTGCATGGAAAGTCTTTCGACTTTAAAGTTCCTAAGAATACTATTACCCGGTTAATGATGCTTCCTCATCCTGACAATAGGCAGATATTTTTCGCCGTCCAGCTTGACCCGCCTATCAAACATGGTCAAACCAGATATCACTTCATTATTATGCTTTTCGACAAGGATTCTCATGTGGATTTAGAAATGGCTGCCACAGAAGAATGGCTTCAGGAACACTTTAACGGCAAACTGACGCAAAATATATCTGGAAGCGAATATGAAGTAGTCGCTCGAGTGTTCAAGGTGAGTTTTTACTACTGTACCTACCTTAAAATGACATGCCTTCTCTGATTGTGTGTATTCTAGTAGGTTTTGACATATAGACGGTTGCCACCAAAATAGTTGCTCATTTCTGTTTGTCACTTACATTTGTGTAAAGTTATAGAAGGTGGGCATGTTAGTAGTCAAGAAACTACGTTGCAAAATTATAGTAGGTACCAAATGACTCAGTTGGTGCTTCGCTGGGACGTACGATTTTTATTACTCACTGTCTTACATAAACAGCAGCAGGTGTTTCAAACATCCGCATATTATGTTGCTTATAAAATGTGTACTTAGTGTGCCAGTAGTTTCCCTCCATATTTTTAAAAGTATATACTTGCTAGCCTACAATCACCAGGAAATGGATGTTAAAGGAAATATGTATGGCATGAATTGTATCGAAATACGTAGCGACTTATTGTGACTAGACTGTACAGGAGTACCATCTTCGTGTTAACCCTTATGTTACTATTGAGAGAAGAGAACAATAATCATCCTGATTTTATCGTTGGGAAACTTTCAGGAGAGTGTTTAGAAATTTGAGAGGAATCGAAAACCATTTTAATGAGGGCCGTTTTAGATTGTCTGAAACGTTGAAGGTTGTCGTTAGAAATTGTAAAATATCCACGAAACATTCAGTTACTTATTTCACAAAACTACATGAAAGTAAATCGCATTTGTGCAGTATTAGCACAGTTATTTGAAGCGTTACAATACTGGTTAACTGCGTCAATATTAGGTGTTAAAGTTTCATTCTTAAGCTACAGATCGTCAAAATGCTACGAAGCTGATTGTATAAACATGGCGAAGTTTAAACCACGTAAAATTTGCCTGAATGTCTAAACATTTTTATATTGAGTATACCCATGTTCACTGTTTGTTATCTGTGGACTATATAGTCGCTCTAAAGTTGCCCGGTATGGTTGTATAGCGTAAAATACCTTAGTTATGTGTGAGTATGCTCCTTGATGTAGCAGTTTTACTTAGGCTTTGTACGATTATTTAGGTAGACTGAATAACAATTAATTATTCCAGTAAAAATCACGCATGTATATCTCAAAGATGCTTGAATTGGAGTTCTTTCTATCGTCAACCTTAAGATCATAAATTTGTTCCTAGAAAGTTGTGTTCGACGTATTAGTTTCAGTTCTTAGAGTCCGTCGCATGTCACACAACCATTCATTTGGTTACTGCATTATTTATACAAGCACAATTTATTTACATATTTCCCATTCCTTTTGGAGAACCCAGAATTATTTATTGCCTCGCTGCGTTCTACTTGCAGTTTGTAAAAACCATTAATATCCACTTTTTAAAAGTCCAAACATCTTTTATGCCTGAAAATAAACTGTGCAAATAATGAATTGATATTTATTAGAATATAGGAGTTTAGTGTTCGATGTCTGTGCCAAGCTGTTGCAATCATTCAGGATAAAAAATTAAACTGTACGGGTGTGGTGCATCAGTGTTAATATTTTCAAAGTAATGAAAATTTTATGTGGTTATTTTTCTAAAATTGCCATTCGGTGTTGAAAAAAATTATTCTGACGTGTTCCTAAGTATATTGTATCCATTTTCATAGCATAAAAATGTAAAACAATATGCGTCAAGATGAGCATTTATTTTAGTTGCTTCCCCTTTTGATTTAAAATATTTTTTTCGATTATTCCCATGATTCATAGGTTATTTTTGATCAGAAAGTAACAGTTCCAGGCAGTTTTACTGCAAAAGGTGGCGGCTGTGCTGTTGCATGCAGTTATAAGGCATCAGTCGGTTTACTTTACCCCTTGGAGAGGGGATTTACTTTTGTACCTCGTCCTCCAATTTCTATGCGCTTCGATGAAATAATATCTGTACAGTTCTCTCGTGGAACAGGCGCTCAGCGGTCTTTTGACTTTGAGGTTAGTTTTCCATATGTCAGTTTTACTGGGTGAATCCTTATAACGTGTGATTATATATATATATATATATATATATATATATATATATTTGCTGCATTTTAGATTTCGATGGAGTGCTCCAAATATCTTCTTCATCTGCTGGTTCAAATGGTTTTTACCATCTGCGCTTATCCGGGGACTCTGCAAGGTCAGCATCCGGATTAGCTGGTGTCGATATTGCATTCAGCGCTAGAGCTGAAGATGCATTCCTCGATCTCCATTGTTCTGTGAGGCTAGAAGCTTATACCAGAGTAAAAAGCAACCGGCAGTTTTCAGCCCGGATATCATTAAGGGATATGTTTTACTATTAATTGAGCGAGCTTACGAAGCAGGCACTCTGGAGAGATATCGTAGTGCTAGATGTGGACTTGAATGCACAGGTCGGGCATTTAGACTCGGAGGAGAGTTGTTTAGGTGGTCAGTGATGTCGGTCTGGTCTCAGGTCGGATAATATGGACCGTTTTCTGCAACTTTGCGCCGACCACAACCTGTTTCTGACCAGCATCAACTTCCGACACAACAATCGTTGTACCACTACCTGGCCTCCCCTCTTTGCCACGCAAATCGATCACGTTGCTTTCAGGTTTCAATGGCGTGGGTGCATACGGGACTGCCGCTCCTTTTTGAGCACATCTGGATTCTGGTCATGCTTTGGTATATGCCAGGTTCATAAATGTCGTCCTCTGCAAGATGCTTCAGTAAACTGGTAGCCCATGCTAACTTTTGTGAAGTACCAAACTGAGTTAAACTCCATGCTAGATAGCAACCCCCAAATAGTTTAGATGTACATTGGCCGCACCTTCAAGACGTTATGAAAATGGCAAGGAAAGTTACTTCCGAACTAAAAGGATGCTCTGCCATAAAACAGTGAGTTTCCGCGAGTTCCTTGTGGACTCCCGTCGGTCCACTCCACCGGATAGCAAGTATAGGAAAAGACTCTCACGTGTAAGATCAAACAGTATTTAAGCAATTATCGCAAAGCATGACAGTCAGAACACCCCGAAAAGCAGTTTAGCTGGCCAACAGCGAGACTCTAATCAGGGAATCGAATGGATTGTTTGGGGAAGTGAGAATGTTCCATCAATGTGGAGTGAAGCTATTGTCGTATCCATCTTTAGAAATAGCTTATATGGTGCATGTGATAATTAGAGGTAATAGTTTGCTACCAGTCGCGTCTAAAATGTTGGTTGATGTTTTGCTCCGTAGGCTCTGTAATATTCGTGAACAGTTGATTTGCAAAGAGCAGGCTGGGTTTCGTTCACGCCTTGGATTTATTGATCATATATTCACTCTTCATCAGTTGCTAGGACACCATCACTCGTATTGCAGACCAACAGTCTTTGTGTTTCTTGATATTAGGGTTGTTTTTGTTTCATTTGACAGAACTGCTCTCTGGAACTGCCTGTTAGAGAGTGGTGTTCCTGAGAAGTTTGTTATTGTCCTGAAATCCCCACACAGAAGCACCTGAGGCAGAGTGAAGGCGTACATACAGCTATCACCACAGTTCTCAACCAACAGTGGGGTGAGACATGGTTGCACAGTCTCTCCATTACTTTGACTTTACTATCAACGACATCCTGGAGACAGGTCCGAAGGATGTGTATGATGGCGGTGTATATCTACCTACCGGAAAAAGACTTCGACCCTGAGCATGCAAACAATGTCGTTTTACTGTCAGTAAATATGCAGGCTTCCCAAATCTCACTTAATCAGTCGGCCATCATCGTCTGTAGGTATAATGTGTTCTTTACTCTGTATAAATGCATCGTATTATTGCAAGATTGACAGGTCTATACCTGCACTCACCGTCGCAACTAAACCGGTTGCAGTTGTCGATTAGTTCGTGTATCTTGACAGTTGTGTGAGCGCTTATAGGTGTGCCGGATCAAATTTCTGACTGTAAAAGGCAAAGTAGCAGACTCCAACTCAGATCACTTCAAGCTCCGCCGCCACGTCATTCTGACTGTCAAAGTTTGGATTTTCAATGCTTCGATGCGCGCAATCTTTCTTCACGCCTGTGAAACCTGTCCTCTTTAATTTGAGGATGTGAGGCAACCCTGTGTATTCGATCATCTTTGCCTTCGACTGCGTCATCATGTAAGTAATTCTGTGGTCCAAAAGGGTCTGTCTGAAGGCGGTGGAGATCTAGTATTATTTTTCATTCTACACTGAGTGAGTGGTTTGTTCCCAGTGCTCCTTTTTTGCTTATCCTTTTCAGCCATCTGATCTTCATTACTGCCTAGTTCACTAACCAGTGTTAAGTCTGGAAAAACAAGTGAATGCTGGGTGAAGGTCTAGTGAGCATACCGCGGAAAGTCAACCCTATGGCTACAGAAACTTCAAGGCATCGTAAATATATTTATTGGAGAGACGGAATGACGCAAACTGGTGAAAACCTTCAGAAACCCAGTCAGCTAAAGTCTTCTTTTGATAAAAGCAAAAATATAAGTATGGGGACATAGAGTGTCCGCACTATTAACCTACGTAGCAACTAATAATGACTCTAGCTAAAAATTCATGAATAATTCCCAAAACACGTAGTTCTGCGAAGAAGCTTTTTTCTGCAAACTCATTTTCTTTAGCTGTCCAATAGAATTTACATGCAGTTGCTTCATGAAATTAGGTATTACCAAAAGTGATGAGTTGTCGCAACCATAGTTGTAAATATTAGTCAATACATAAGGAGGAGTTGAATAAAGTGTGTTGGAGTTACGTAATAAGATGAGTGATGTAATGAATGAGTTGTAATCATGATACGCATAGAAACGGAGGAAAATGTGGGGTCACTTGAGAGTTGTAAAGAAATACAAAGGTGATAAGGAGTTAGAAAAACCAACAAACAAACAACCATCAAGTGAGTAGAAATCAACAAGGTTGTCACAAGACAGTAGAAGTGGTTGAATAATTTTCTTTTGTATACATAACTCTGCTTTATCCAACTGAATGGCTAAGACTTCGGGAATGCAAAGGAGACAAAAGCGTATTGCCTTTGTCAGGTTGGTGTTCACTTTGTAGTTACCCTGAAGGAGGTGTTTGTTGATGTGGAATGACCAGTGTTGACGAGTGTCTGATTATCACACTCCTTATAGAGCCACTACTTCTACCTTTCTGCAAACATGCTGTGGGATAGTGTTGTTAAACCCTCTGAGACAATATACGCGTCGAGCGACCAATGTACCTGATTCCACAAGAATAGGTGAATTGATATATGCCCACAGAAGTGATCAGATGCAAGATCCTATCCTTAAGGCCTGTGCAGACCAGTGGACGATTGGAGAACACCACTCTTAGCGTTACTACTAAGAATGTTTTTCTCAAAGATGATGCAATTCTTCTCTTAAGGATATATCACAGATGAAGTCTCCCTTGAAATTATGGTTCATCTAAAGTTCCTTATTTTGGAATAAGTAATATTTTGTTCCTCTGGGCTTTTAGTTTGATATTCTTATCAATGTCTGTCTGTTTTCGACATAGAACTTTGCACAAATGTGCGGAAGTTCAAGTCGCCACATTCCGTGTAGCACGCGAAGCAAGAGAAGAAAGTACAAGAAAAGCATAATAGAAACAGTGAGCAGAGGTGTGAGACAAAGGAGTAATAAGGAAATACAAAACAGTTTCATTGAAGATCATAAGTCACAGGGAGTGGATGCATCTGCCCTGGCCACTGAGAACGGTTTTGAGCCATGTCACCAATTGTTTCCAACCATAGATTTTTACCGTCCGAGGACCCCAGCCTGGAAGTCTACACCTTCCTACGTGGCTTAGACCAACTGTTGTGATTCTTATCAATGAATCTCGATGAGTATCCAGTTTGATTGAAAGCTTCTTTAAGAAGATCTAGTTCTGCTTGTAGGGTGTCAAGACTAAAGATGCGTCGGGTTGTGGAGTGACAAGGGATTCAATTAAATTTCTTTTTTGTTCAACATACACCCAACAGTAGAAACTTGTTAGTTGACCATTCTTCAATTGATTTCCTATGGACTGAGTTTCTTAAGGTTCTATCCTATCCTCTTGTCAGTTCCACATCAAGAAAGGGAGCTTTGGATTTGTTTTCCATATCAATGGTGAATTTTTTGATTGCCGGATAGCAACTGTTAAACAAATGAAAAATCCCCATATTGAAATCAAAACAAGATTTTGAGTGAACCATTGTTTTCGATAACTTCTTCAGGCTTTACAGTTATAAATCCATGAATAATAGAGTACATATAGCCAATAAAGGCAAATGAAAATAATATCAGAAACTGTATTGGGGTGCATGTGTAACTTGAGATGATAGTCCATTAGTTAACATGGTCAATCAAATTTGTATAGGGTGTATAGTCAGAAAAAATGTGATGAATTGTGACTAAACAATTGGGTGATATAGTGCTGTTTTATAGTCAACAAAATACAAGCGTCATTGGGGTCACTGAATGTGAGGGCTGACCGATAATATCTAATGATAAAATAAAGAGGCTAAATTTTAATAAGATGTTACAGAATTGGTATGATTAGTATAAAATCACAAAGGTTGACAAAAATTAAGGGTAATGATGGGGTAAAATAAACTGGGTGGAGAAATGGATAATTAAGACATGATATCACAAAAAGATAATAATACGAAAAATTATGATCTTAGTAGCCTTATAGTGGACCAGGGTAGACAGAGAGAGTAAATAAGGTTCTTCTATACACAGAGGTCTGGTCTCTCTCTATTAATCACTATAGCCTCAGCTATGGCTAGGAGGCGTAATCGTGTGCCTTTGGGGAGATTGTTCGGTACTCGATACACAATTGTGAACGACTCATCTACTTTGATTCAGTGTTTGTTAAATACTTATAGCAATTGATTGGGGTTGTAACTGTTGTCACAAATGATGAAAATGTTATCTATGTACCTTGTATACAGTTATAAATTCGCTGAAAAGAGCCTCCTTAGTGAAGTGTGTGTTTTGTTTTAGTTAGAGAATTATTTTTCAAGTATTGGTTTTGTCGGGATTTTTTTGTTTGATTGAGTGGAGGATTTCATCATGAGCTGACATAAGTTAGAGAACCACCGAAAAACCTGCAGGAAGTACTGGAAAGCTGTTTCATCCTAGTCTGGGACTCTTCAGCGGTACGCACCCACCGGGGTTCGAAGTCAGGACCTTCTGGTTACAAGGCTAGTGAGCTCGTAAACCATTAAGCCACTGAGACCTGATTCAATGGTCCCCGGTTCGAACCCCGGTGGGTGCGTGCCGCTGAAGGGTCCCAGACTAGGACGAAACAGCTGTCCAGTACTTCCTGCAGGTTTTCCAATGGTTCTCTAACTTATGTCAGCTCATGATGAAATCCTCCATTCAATCAAAGATTATTATTTATTATCAATTGTTTGGTGTATGAATAAGTATATTTTCTGATATTATTATTATCATCATATATCATGTTAAAAAAAAATTACGTTTACTCTGTCTGTAACTTCTCTAATTAATTAATAGGTAGAAACTCGAAATGGTTTAACACATACATTTACTTCAATTGAAAGAGATGAATATCATAATCTGTATGATTTTGTCACTGCTAAAAAACTTCGTGTGAAAAATATCAATGCTGAGAATAAAACCAATACAAGTGTTGGTGATGATGTCTGGTCATCCTCGGATGAATCACATGATGCTTATATGGAAAAAGTTAAGACAGAAGCCCGTGAACGAACTGCTGAAATCGATGAAGATGATGATGACGATGAAGATGATGAAGATTTTAAACCACCAGAGTCAGATGGTTCAGAATTAGCCGAAGAGTATGATAGTAATGTACAAACAACAACAAGTGATGAAGAGTCTGGTGATGATGATTCTGATGCTGATGACAATGATGATGATAAGAATGAAGACCGTGGTGGCGGCGGTAGTAAGAAAGAAAAAAGTCGTGACACTCATCGTCACAGTGATAAAGATAATAAGGGTAATGATGATGATGATGATGACGATGTCGATAGTCTATCAAGTGTCAGTGATGCTGAACCAGCACCTAAGCATAAAAAACTAAAAGATGATTCAAAAAAATCTCATAGTAAATCTCACAAAGATGATGCTAAACCATCAAAACGTCAGACAAAAAAGCCTAAAAAACCTAAAGATCCAAATGCGCCTACTCGACCGCCAACTGCTTATTTCTTATGGTTTAATGAAAATCGTGAGAAGATAGCTAAAAGTTTAACTGGACAAAATTCTGTTGCTGAAGTCGCTAAAGCTGCTGGTGAACAATGGAGAAATATGGACAGTGATACGAAGTCAACTTATCAATCGAGGGCTGATGAATTGAAAAAGAAATATCAAGAAGATTTACGTAAATATCAGTCAACGTTAACAACATCATCAAAAGACGCTGAATTATCTTCAGATTCTGATTAGAAAACAAAAAAAACAACAAAAGCAAAGCAAAACAGATTTATTACAGAAATCATTTTGTAAACAGGCTGAATAAACGGGCAAAGATAACAAAAAAAATTTGTTTTTTTATAACGATGTATTATGTTTATTTTATTACCATCTCACTGTAAATTCATTACGTTTGTGTACCGATTAACTAAAGATAATTTTCAATGTTTTAGGTAGTTGGTTCACTTGAATTATCAGCTGATGCATTTGTTTATTTGTTCACATAACTAACTCAGAATGTTACTCGAGACCTCCAACCTTCACGTATCAGGTTGATGGAAATATATATTTTATTAATGAAATGTTGGTTTGCGGGGATTTGATTGGTTTCAGGATTTCATCATGGGCTGACATTGCTGAGAGAACCATTGGAAAACCGGCTGGGAGTACTGGACAGTTGTTTCGCCAGAGTTTTGCACTCATCAACAGCACGCACTTACCCCGGGTCCGAACCCAGGACCTACCGGTTACAATGCGAGTGCGTACTGATGAGGTGTCCCAGACTAAGGCGCAACAGCTGTCCAGTACTCCCGGCTTTTTCAATGGTTCTCTAACCGATGTTGACTCATATTTTAATTAGGTTGGGATATTCACTGTCGTAATATTTTCCTGTGATTCCTTCGCGTTCCCAGTGGAACATAGGACTGCACCCTAAAGCTTTGAAGTTTCAGTAGTACATTGGTGTTGTTTTTTATGGGGTTAGGTGGTCTAGACTTAGGCCCAACTTTCCCTACTTACAGGGTTTACTGTTGGTTAGGCGAGGTATACAAGTACGTCTGTCGGGGATAAAACCCCATACCACTTACATGATTCTCCAATGTGTTCTACTACTGAACTACCGACGTACATTATCGTCATTGACATAATTTTATATGTCTTTCCTTTGATTTGTTTTTAGTTTAGTGGATATTTCTCATCTACGTAGGTATTATCAGAGGAATGCATTTCTGGAGTTGCAGGCATGTGTTACTAACCAGTAACAGAAAGCATGGAACCTAACCCCAACCTACCAACGTCCATTTTGAGTCCTCCGTGAGTATCAGCCTTAATAGTTTGCTCACCGGTTCTCTAAACTGATCGTTAAAAATTAGTTCAGCTCCAAGCATTAGACAATATAAAATTGAGAACTTTCCAATGACAGACCATTTTAGGTTATAATCAAGGGTTAACGTGAAATTAGTCTATCATCAGTCTCCAGTGTCGCCTCTGTTTATTAAACAAACGAAATGCCCAGCATTCAGTAGGAAAAAAAGTGATGTGACATAGTTTAGGCTAAGTATATACCATCTACTTATTGCTATGAACGCAGAAGTCATGCTACTTAGGCGATAAAAACTTAATCTATATTGTTCAGTGTTTTATTAATGCAAGTCAGAATTTGTGGTCAACTAAAGATGGGAATGCATATCAGCTCCTTCGACTTTGCAGATACACTTTGCTGACGAATACCAATAATCTACAAAACCTGTGGCTTCATGGCTTCCTGCCTATTAGTTCAAACCACATAATATCATATCGCTGAGAAGATTAACTCTTCGCTGAACGCCTTTTCTTTTATATCAAAGTATGGCGTGTGCAGCTTTGTAAGAAGTGGCCAAAATTGAAAACAACATTTTGAGTAGTCACTAGCTGCAAGGATAGAAGTGTTTATTTCTTAAATCTGGATTTAGTTTGAGTTGTGGTCATGACCTACCCTCATTGGACAAACTTGTTTAACCTTGGGCCAACCAGTCAGGAGAGTTTATTCTCCTCTGACCTAGGTGACCTTTAATTGGGTTAAAAATGGACAAATATGATGTGTTTTCCCTTGTTAAATATAGTCCATTCTCAATTCTCTTGTCTTTTGCCGTTACCAAAGTAAACCACTAGGAAATATTACAAACTTGACTCGGTGACTCTAAACTATAGCAGCCTAAACCGAAACTACCTGGCGAATGCATAAATGTCCTTGAACAGCCAATCAGATGAATCCGCATTATATAGGCGTACTTATGGATGCTGTACGCCTTTTGCGTAGCGAATTCGCTATAGATCTTGTTTTTGATCACTGTTTGGAGAACAAACTGATAGGAAGGTCGAAAAAGTGTGAATGTGGAGGTGTCATGTATTTACAAAGATATACTAGGTGCATTGATGGATTTGTTTACAGGTAGGATGAGTGCCGAACCAGAAAGTCAGCTCGAGAAGGTATGCGGTTCTTTTTATAGTTTACAGATTCCTTAGGTACTTTTTTCGCTGGATCTAAGTTACCTCGAACGAAAATTTTAATGATGTGTCATAACTGGGTGTTTAAAGACCACTAACAGCAACAATGTATGAGTCAGAAAACCCAGAAGTGTCTGCATTGCCATGGTACCAGTACTGCAGAGACATAACATCATGGAAAATGAGCACACTGACTCAAGTACTTGGAGGCATTGGCGCCATTGTTCATGTGGATGAGACAGTGCTTATAAAATGAATATGTAATTGAGGTAGACTGAGTGCGAATCAGCAGTGGGTGTTGGGGATATATGACACCACCCTCCACAAAGGATACATTGAGACGATCCCTAATCCTAGTGCTAATGTCTTATTGCCCATAATGTAACGCTTAGTGATGCCTAGAAAACTGATTCTCATGTTCTTTATGGCAAACTTGGAAGAAAACATGAGAAACAATTCCGTTTAGCAGCTGAACAGATCTGGATAAGTTTCTAGTGCGAAACAAGTACTGTAGAACAAAATTAGTTATCTAAATATCAACTGTAAGAAGTACTCGAGAATAATTGGGAATATTCTTAACACGGTGGGATCAAAACTCTGCCAACTAGAATCTCGCAGTAAACAATTCCTGCACAGAGTCCTAGGTATGAATGACCTTGACTCTTAGCCAAACAAAAACACATTATCAATACCATCACATAACCACAAAGAGAAGTAATAAAACAAGAGATTGAATGGGAACAAAGACAAAGAGCAGGGATTGAGTCAACGTATGATATGCAAACGTCAGTAAAATGATATACAGTCTAGGAGAAAAACCGATGATAATTACAAAGTTAGTTTAAACATCCAAATAAGTATCAAATATTGTAAGTACACTGTTCAGGAAGGGTCATTTCAGACAATTTTCCCGTTATCAGCATTAGTTGAGGATTGATGAAGTTAAAATTTATGGGTTACAGAGTTCAAGGCCTAACGGCTGAGTGGTCGACGACTATGGTATCATAACCTGGAGCTCCCTTTTTGGTGGCTGGTGGGGGCATGGGTGTGGACAGACGAAACTGAGTGACTGGGTTCAACATAGAATTTTTCACAGATGTGCACCGATTCGAGTTGTCACATTCCCTCCTTGTAACACACAAAGTAAGGGAAGAGAGTAAAGAGAGATTCAAAACATAGATAATAAACAGAAGTGTGAGTGAGGGGAAAACAATAGTTACATGGAAGAACAATGGGATTTTATTGGATATGCCAACAAATCACAAAGAGTGAATGCATCTGCACCAGCCATTGAGAACGATCACTTTAAGCCATGTCACAAATCGTCTCCAACCTCTTTTGGTTTTCACCATCCGGAGGATCCAAACCAGTCAGGCAGTCTACACTTCCCTGCGTGGTTGGCTGTCTTAAACTAACTGTTGTGGATTTTATCGACTGGTGACGCCATTTTTTGGTTTCATCACCACTAGCTTCCTCTTTTCCAACCTGATCCATCCTATGCCAGTCAGCTAACATTATCTGTCGATCGAGGAAGGTGATGGCTAGGCATGAGTAACACTTATGCTAACCATCTGAATCGGTGTAGCTTCACAACCTTATCGATTGATTCCCCCTCCTTGCCTAGCACTCGACCAAGGCATAACTTCAATATTGCTCACTCCTATTATACCACCAAACACGGGAGATAGAACGCGGGTAACTATGATTAAAGACAGTTAGCCGGCCTTTTCATACCCTTCACTTTCAATGGCCATGTCTTACTCACACCATAAAGGAGGAGGCAGTGGACTGATGAGCAGCACACACGCCCATTGACTGACAGCCGGATATACTGTCTACGCTGGAGATGGCGTAAGGTAGCATATGCCAAACGACCCTTCTGTACCCGTGCTGAGATTTCGTCAACGATCTACCCACTGGCGTTGGCTGATGGAACTTCCCAAATAAGTGAAGTTGTCAATACACCATATATCTTCAAGCTAGGAGTCAATGACCGAAACTAGGACGAAACCTGGTTATCTATGACCTTTAAAACTGATGTTGTTTCATGATGAAAGCTATTTTGAAATCAATACAAATCTATGGAAAAACCCATAATCTACAAAAAACACCAACAAAAAACAAACTATTGATAATCAATTATTATAGGGAAGAATAGGTACATTTATATAGTATCACAAAAAAGAAATCTGTTTGAAATACACATTTTGATGCAATAAAACAAATAATATTAAATCTTTGCATTAAAGATGTATTCATCAAGAAGTAAGAAAAATGACTACATAATATTCACAGTAGACAAAGGAGAAACGGAACATGTAATAATATTATGCTGTTATAATCACTATTATTATTATTGTCATCACAATTATGATTATAAATATTATCAATAACAATAACAATAATACGACAGATTGGTGATATGCACTAAGAACAACAAAAACAACAATAGTAATAATAATAAGAATAACAGCTAAACACACGCTTTGTGTGAACGACACGGTCGACCAGATTTTAATGGGCATAAATCCTTTTCATAGATAGCTTCCCAATGAGCTTGATAAGGACGAAACAGCTGACATAGAAATGCTTCTAATAGCGTATGCACAAATCTACGATTAAAACGTTCTTCTTGTAGCATATTGAATACACGAGATACACCACGACGAGTTGTTTCATTACCAAGAAATTGGGCAAGTTCCTCTATAGTCAATTAGGCGTGAGAAGAACAGAGGCACAGTAAACATAAAAAGTAACGTGGTAGATAAATTATTATAATTAGTAATTGATGTGTAGACAGATAAACAAGGGATTAGGCTTTATTGGTGACATGGTGATCAAGGTCAGTCCGGAAATAAACCAATCAGGCGTGGCCTAAGTAAAATAACGCCCATTAATTTATTGATCATGACTACAGAATAACTAACATAATCCCCTTGGTGATTTTTTGAATCATACATTATTATGTAAAATATACTGTGACTGATACTGAAATGTACTTTTCGGCTGACATCATTGTGTGCTCTCGCTTAAGTAAAGAGGGTTGGGGAAAACGAGTAGATGATGTTGATGGTGTAGCCAAGCGGTATTCGTTATTGATATAAGAATAAAACTTGTGCACTGTAGTAGAGTATAATTCCATTATGGGTAAGTTTTTGTTTTGATAAAGTCTCACAGTGTTTTACAGTAATGTTTACTGATGACCACGTTTCGAGCACAATTTACTACTCATAATAATATCAAGGTATTCACACGACTTCCTAACTTCATTTATACAGTTCCATTATTTTTCACTTGATTTGATTGGCAGTAGTATTTTCCATATTTCAGGTATGAGTGATGACTCATTCCTCTTGCATGTGTTTGGTGTAGACTCGATGAACAAGGATTCAGTAATCAACCTCTCTCTCCACCTATCTATATTACTTCATAGAATTTTTACCCTCTCCCTCTCACCCTATTGTGTGGTTGTGTGTTAAGGCATGCATTGCAATTTCTGAGCTTTTTTCTAAATTACTTATCTTCGTAGGGTCAACCATTCTTACCTTAGCTAAATTCTTATGTTCCGACAATCTGACTACCCCTGACCTACTAGTTTGACCTATGTAGTTGACCTCACAGTCATCGCAGGGTATTTTGTAAATTATATTATTTTGTTTGATTGGGTTCACCGAGTGTTTTAGCCTACAGAGCTTGTCTCTGAGTGAGTTTGTAGGTTTAAATGCCACCCTATTCGTTATCAGCGCATCTGTGTTTAACTCAGCGTCTCTATTTCAATCACAATATTATTACGAGATAATAAAGTAGTGAAATCCTAACAGTAATACGTTAGTTAGATATTTAAAATTCTTTGAATTTATGTCCACTTTCAGTGTCAACGTCTTTTTCCCCCAGGGGGGGGAATTCACGTGAGGAAGACTGTCAGTATGCAGCAGAAATGATGAAATAGAGCTAAACGATTGCTTTTTATGACTAGTACAGTAAAACTAACATTAGTAAATGTACTCTTTCCCTCAAACAATACAAATTATTTCATCAGTTTTTATCCGATAATACATCACAATACAAAAAAAAACAATGGTTACTGTTGGATTTATTCACGAACAAATAGCATCAGTCCGGGGTGCACTGGACAGCTGTTTCAACCTATTTCGGACTGTTCATCTGAGAGTGAATATACCTACACTACTGAGAACTATTTCAAATCATGTCACCAATAGTCTCCGGTCATTGAGTCTAAACGTCTAGTGTAATCCAGACAGATAGAATACACTTTCTTGCGTGAATCAAGCCAGCACTAAAACCCTTCACACGAATTGATGCCATGTTTCAGTTTGACCATTTCTAATTCTTTACCTACCCAATCTGATATCATTCGGCATTACTTGACGAGGAGATTAATGACTTAGGACACGTAACATGTGCCGGTATCATTCCAGTCGATTCAGTTTCCAAACCTAACCGATAGACTTTGAGTCCTTTTCCTTATACTCTAGGTATAAACTCATTATAAGTGAACACATTATAACACATAACGCCAGGGCTCGAGCCCACGCCGGCGCACACCTGATATCTATGGTCAGCCTGCGAAATTTGGGCTACCGATATCCATGCTGAAAATTCCATACTTGTACCAAAAATACAGTGTGGAATCAAGCTGTAAATCAAAAAATCAACACAAACCCCTGTGGTAAAAGATGGCTAACCTCTTCACATCCTCCATTTCCAATGAGGATGTACCACAGATGTAACGAAGGACGTAGAGGAGTGCCTCCATGATACCATGAATGACTAGTATATACGTATGGGTAATGAGTTTGGTTTCAACATACAAGAAATTTTCTAATGATATCCAAAGAAATCTTGACTTTGACATACAGTCAAGTTTATTAATACATGTTAGGAACCGATAAACAAGAAGATCGCATCAAAGTAGAAGCTTTCTCTGCTAGCCAGCACTCATGTTAGAATATGTAGAAGTCCCTGATTTTACCATTAAGTTGTTCAAGATGGGACCAACCTTCTGTAGATATGAGCAATACAGGTAAATCGATTACAGAATGGCAGATAATCAAGAAGCTGAGATTTCATTCCGCAGGCCACTGTTAAATCAGACCAATGTACAATTTGTTGGTTGACATGACACTGATATATACAATCATCCTTTTGGTCAGTTAAATTACTTGTCAAAGTAAATAGCAAGGCCTTTGAGGTTGACACAGTAAAAGGCGAATAAAAAAGTTTCCTACTGTAAAGATCCATGGAATGTTATTGCACATGTGCTTAACTAGATCTGCCGTACAGTAAAATCATACGACACACATATACATACTGAAGAGTAAAATCCATTGACGTTAGTGAAAGAAAATTTGTTTGGAGGATTTCACCATGAACTGATATTGGTTAGGGGACCAACTGTCTCGTCCCAGTTCAGGACTCTTCATCAGTACGTACTCACCACCAGAGTTCGAACCCAGGACCTTCTGGTTACAAGGCAAGCTCGTAGATCGTTAAGCCACTGGGACCCGATTCAATAGCTTTTCAGTACTACCTGGTTTCTTCCAATGGTTCACTAACCGATGTCAGCTCATGATGAAATCCTCTAACCAATCAAACATAATCTCTACATACCAATACTAAAAAAAAATTTGGGACAGTTATCTATCGACAATACAAAACATTATGACTAAATGTTATAATCAGAAATGAGATTTTACATTTCCTGCTACATCTAACCAACTATAAATCCATTAATGATTATTTACATAACAGCTAAATTTCATCTATGGACAAGAACAAATATCCAGTGCTATGTGATACAGTATGGCTTCCCTTAGTTATGATTTCATGGTGACATACATAAACATTCCAGGAGCTACTGATTCACCAATGAACGACTGGTTTTACGTGATTTGGTACACTTTATATAATGATAAAAATAATAATAATAATGATCTCAATTTAGGTGGATTGAGAAAATAAAATCAAACTTACCAGATACACTTCCTAAGAGTACAGTACGACAAAGAACACGAGTTCTTAACTTCATCTCTTTATCACGTTCACTTAAAACAACTGTAGGCGTTGAATGTTTTGTTGGTGGCCAAAAATAATCACGTAAATAAGTGACTAATTGTGTAATTTTAGGTGCACTTGTCCATTCACATGCCTGTTTTTTATGTGTAGTAGATTAGGAAAAATAAAATGAAGAAAGATAGATATTATAAATTATATCATGGGGCTATCTACTGCAGTATCCAGGAATGCTTGACATACGTAATGTGTGTTACAGTTAATACAATTTATTTTGTAAATAGTATTGTGGTGAGAGCTGTCTGCTAGCCAAAATTGGTAGACAGCAATTTACGCCAACGTAACGTTCCAAATCTTACTCACGAGAAGAAACAAAAACTAACTCAACAACCAAGCACAGCAGACTTAGCGTGGGCGGATACGATTAGCAGATATATCGACGTACTGTCTAAATAATGGCAACAAAGAGATGACAGAATAACCTTCAGCAGGAAAACAACCAATCAGAAGACGTTTTTTCTTTGCTAACAATAACGCTAATAATAATGTACACGAAAACCTATAAATATCTGTTGATTTTCTCAATAAAGGATCTGTCTCCTGGCCCTTATCTTCTGTCGTTACAGTATCTATTTTATCGTCTTTTTCTGTTGGGACCAACAGATCGAAAAGATCCGACAAAAAAAAAGACAAAACTAATACCATTTACAAAAAAATTGTATGAACTGCAATGAAAAAACTACATCAGTGAAAGTGGACGTCTCCTTCGAATCAGAATCCAAGAGCACAAATTAGCTGTATTCTTTTTTATATCAGTGGCATGTAGATAATTATGGACACCAATTTGATTTGAATAATATGAGAAAATTTTTAAAAGAGGAAACATGAAAAGTGCCAGAGAATTCCTAAAACCTGATACTCATGTGAATCAGAGATTAACAAACATATTAATATAGACCAAATTTACCAGCTAATAAAAAGTAAATCGCCTGATAAGAAAGTTCAATCTCCAAGTCCATTAAAAATGATCAATACAGACGTAAATCAACCAGCAGTCCAGAAGATGGTTGCCAGGAGACACAATTATATCATTCATGGGGAATTTCAATCAGCTCATTTTATGCTTAAACTTGCTCTGAAGATGTTGTCAAAAAGTACAACGAAAGCTTCACAATTAAACCAACCACCTCAGAAAACACAACTAATTGTAAATCATCCACCTGAGCAACATATATTCTCTATCATTTCAATTGTAGTGCACACTGAATGTGAGACAACCTTATAGTGCAATCCGGTTGATCGAGATCATAAAATGTTGAATCAACTAATTGACAGGAAATTGTTTAAACCAAAATGTGAACTGATTTAACTCGATGACCTTAGTCGAATTAAGTGCACTGCTAATCAGCTCATCACTAAATGAGCATCTCACAGACTTTCCGGTGGCCTGCTTAAAACACTGGGCTACAGAAATTGTTTTTCATCAAAATGTTTGATTTCATTTGGAGAATTAGTTTTGTAAGAATTTTGTTTGATTGCATTGAGGATTTCATCATGAGCTGACATCAGTTAGAGAACCACTAGAAAACCTGGAAGTACTGAACAGCTGTTTCGTCAGCCTAGTTTGGGACTCTTCATCAGGTTGGAGATGAGGCAGCAACTCACTCATCGAAGAAGACATTGCGAAATGGTCACGCTATGTCGCGAATTGGCAGAAGTTAGAATTCATGGGCCATTGGATTGGGTCCCAGTAGCCTAATGGTCTACAAGCTTGTCATGTTACCAGAAGGTCCTGGGTTAGAACCCTGGCGGTGGGTGCGTACTGATGAAGAGTCCCAAACTAGGACAAAACAGCCGTCCAGTACTCCCAGGTTTTCCAATGGTTCTTTAACTGATGTCATCTCATAATGAAATCCTCCATCTAATTTCATTTGGATTTATCATTGTTTTAATCGTCCAGTTATATGAAATGACCCATACATCAACTTGCGCGCTGATTTAACTTGCATCCAAGTAAACGCTGTGTAATTCTTCAACGAAATGCAGGGTACACTACAGAATATTACTTTGCATGAAAATCCTGTATAAAGAAAGAAGTATTATGGAACTAAATACGCTGAACATTTTTGTACCACATGTTCACATATTTATTAAAAAACAATCATCCTGTATTAGATCACTTCGTTCTGACTGGTTGGTTAGCAAACACTACTGGTGGATATGAGCAGTATGCAACTACTCAACTAAATCATTCAGTAGTGTATAGTTTTATGCAAACACGCATGGTTTTTTGATTAACATTTATGTTAACAAGCAGACCACACATATTGTGATTGTGTAACGACAGTAGACAAGGGCCAGGAGACAGATCGTTTATTGACAAAATCGGGTGTTATTTATAGATTTTCATGTATATTATTATTAGCGTTATTGTTGGCAAAGAAGAAATGTCTTCTGATTGGTTGTTTTCCTGCTAAAGGTTATTCTGTAATCTACTTGTGGCCGTTCGTTAGAGAGTTAAGCCATATATCTGCGAATCGTATTTGTACACGTTAAGTCTGCTGTGATTGGTTGGTGAGTTCCTCAAGGTTAAACTTTGTTATTGTTTTTTCTCATGACCCTGATTCAAGACGTAACGTCGATGTAGATTGTTGTCTACAATTTTGGCTTGCTGATGGCTCTCATCACAATCGGAATAACTTTGTTTCCAAAATGAAATCAATTGATTTCAAGTGAATTAACTCTCTGAACTGAGTCAAACCAGCCAGGTGGAATGCTGATGGTCTCAGAAACAAACGAGAGAAATAGATGTTTAGTGTTTAGATCACCCTGACCTGGCTAGTAAGTACCATTGGTTGATATGTGTGACATGCAACCATTCATCTCGATCAATCAAACAATCTAGGATGGTACATTCATGCCTTGATTTCCTAATTTTAATTTATAGCATTAAATAGTTTGTATAATGGAAGAATTTTTTTTCTCATAAACAAATATTTAAAAAATCAATTGTTGACTTGCACTTCTCATATTAGTGATGAGTAAGATCAGTATCTAAAAACGCGCTCATACAAGTGTAAATAAGCAGTATGTATCACTTACATTTCCATACATTTGCTAATGAATCACACCAATCGTCTGAAGAATTAATGATACTAACTGATCATTCAAACCTCTGTAGGGGGAATGAGTTCAAATTCATAACCTAGTGTTTGAAAGCTGAAGGCCTATACCACTGACGTCACAACCAGAAAAGAACTTGATGGCGAAAGATCACATCAATGGTAAACTGGAGTCGACATACATTTACAGGTCAAAATTTTTGAATAACTTCAATTCTTACGAACCACTTCGACACGTTCGTAAGAATTTCACTAACTAGCACATAAAATACAACCATCTCTTTCATTGGACACTAATTACCTGGTGTCATGTATCTAGTAGTGCGTCGGTGGCACAGCGGATAGGATGCTCGCCGGCCATGCACATGGTCCGGGGTTCGATCCCCGGCCGACGCACTCCTTTACCTCGCTAAGTCAGAAATAATGCTGGTAAAGAGGAAAGGTTGGATATGAGGCTAGTAACCCCATCCTGTAAAATAAACACTGCTACAGAAACTTCAAGTCTCTAGCTTGAAGCCCTATGTTCCACTGGGGACGTGAAGGGAAAAAATAAATAAAAAATAAAATGTATCTAGTCCTTTGTTTGGTGCAGACTAAACTCTACCAGTCAGGTTTGCAATATGGGTAGGTGGCTTTCCATCACGGCACACTGTGAATTGTTGTTATAAGATGGTTGGAGGCGATCGACAGGAAGCTCTGGACATAAGATGCATGCTTGCTGGCGCTCACCAGTCAGCAAGGAGCATCTATAATCCTCAAGGAGCCCATGTCCCTTCTGAGATTCAAACCCGTGGCACCCAGCGCTACTGCAGTCAGAGGCGTTACCACTGAGCTATTCAGATTAGCGATTGACCCCTTGTATTTTATATTCCTGCCGATTACCTGCAACCATCTTAAAATGAAATGACACCTGTAGTAATAGTTATCAGTAAAAACACGGATACAGGGTAGTTTGCTGGGTGGGTGGGAGGAGTATAAGAACTGACAGTTTATTCATCACATTACCAAACTCCTTTGAAAGCCAGGTAGTAATTTTATGTCAGTTAGCGAAACATTTTTCCAGGCATCATTTAACATTTAGCAACTGAAAATTAAGTACCATAGTAGCACAATTCACAAAGAATATGGTATGATAAGTGGTTAGAACATCTAATCCGGAAATGGACTCATTGGAACTCACTCATTGACTAATATTTAATCTGACACACATTCAAATAATCACATCTTTTGAAAAACGTCTACTACCTTGTGATAGTATTATATCCTATTTCATATGTTGTCAGTTTTGTTATATGTACTTCGTCTTATTACACTTCACTAATCGCCTCAATGTTTATTTTCCACTAACTAACTGGTACAGATGCGGATGTCAAAAATAGACAGGATTGGAAGAACAATACATCTTTAACGATCTGAAATCGATGTGGAAATCTACTGTAGGCCGTATCAGTAACGAGAATAGGATTCTCAACACTACGATCAAGTCAGTCAGTGTTTCAATATGGTTTAGAAATTCGACAAGTCACTAGAAGCACTCATAATAGACTGTAAACTTGCATCAACACGTGCTTCGGCTCGATAATGAAGGATAGATGGCCATTTGGAAAGAAAATACAATGAGGAAATCTGGCAGCGGACCACCTAAGAACCTAGTGTATAAACAACATTAGGAAGAAAATAGGTCTTGCATATGCTGACCACCAGACTCTTGAGTGGAATGCGAAAAGACCAGTTGGGTGTGGGTCCGAAGATAATGTGGAGGAGACCGTGTAAGAAGTAAGTGAAAGACTGTGTACAGTCGCGGAGCCAGCTGAAAGGGATTACAGAGAACCAAGTGCAATAGAGATGTACCGGTGAAGCTCTTTTCCCCACTAGGGACATAAGGAATGAATATTTTATTTTATTCCTTGGTTGGAGTTTCGAATGGAACACAGGGCTTCAAGCTAGAGCTTTGAAGTCTCAGATGCAGTTGTTTCATTCTTACGGGGTGGAGTTGCTAGCTTCACGCCCTATCTTACCTCTTTAACCGTCTTACTGAGGTTTAGGAGTGTGTCCGCTAAGGACCGAAATGTGGACCACATATGCGTGACTGGCGAATATTCTACCAGTGTAACACACCGACGTGTACCAATAAGGCATATTTGCAATCTTGAAGGAGGTCATGTCCATTCTGAGGCTCGAACTCGTGTCACCAAGTCCTGAAGTCAGAGACGTTATCACTGAGCTATTCGTGCTCCCGTGAATACTTAATAAATTCTGAGGGAATCAGCAATATAAAACTTAACAATCGGATAGATAATATTTATGCATAAACACAGCAATAAAAATTGGTGTCTTTTTCTGGAAAACTATCAATATACTAAAATTAGGAGTCATAATAGAATAAATTAATAACAACTCAAGGAAATGCATAAACAATTAATAAAACCTACTTTAGCAATAATCATTTTATTGACTCGTATACCAAAAAATGTTTGAAATATTTTACGTAAGATAGCAAAATTCCCTTGTCTAGTAAATTGACCTTCTCTGTGTAAATCAAATATTTCATCAACTAAAAGAAATAATATTCGAATTGGTGTTTCATCTCCACTGGTCTAGTAAAACAAAACAAAATAAAACAAAATTATAGGTAAATTCAAATATCAGTTGTGCATTGCCGAATGGAAGTGTGTACTATATATAGTGACATACACCTGTGTATATTATGAAAAGAACGGAATTCGTCATTTGTGAATTAATACAATTCGAGGTAAAGGATAATCAGAATCATATTTGTGGAAACCGAAAATGTTTAGACCATTCAAAATAGGTGGTCTGCCTGGTACCACGAATGACAGACGACCAAGAAAGCAAATGATATAGTACGATGGTATATACAACTAATAAGGATATATAAGTAGTTTGAAAATATTCACGGCAAGCAGTAGTGCTGGCCAGTCAAACTGGATCGATATAAACACAAGACAGCCGTGCTCATCACTTTGGCTCACCTGCAAAATGCTAATCAGTTTAAAGTGATTATCCAGGTACACCACAGATGCTATAGGTCCAAATGAGCAAAGCGATTGTCTACTGCGTAGATCATTTCAAAATAGCTAGCAAGTACTAACTAGGTCAATCAGTAGTACAGTAGGTTACTATTTATTATGAATAGCTAAAGAGGGGAAATATAAAATATTGAAAACTATTTTTTAAATACACACATCGGTAGGCACCTGTGGAACAGACTTTATGGAGTTCTGACAAGAATTAGAATTCAGTGAAGTCTATTAAGCCGAATATGAGGATAAATGTTCCACGATTACTCTTGATGATGATGCCAAGAATTCCCGTCACCCATCAAAGCAAACAGTAGAATCACGGAGGAAAGAGTCGAATTCCGTGCTAAAGGAATTGTACAAACAAAATTTATTCGGTTATGGTATGGACGCAAAAAACTGATGCAAACATTCTACTGTTTAGCCGGAAAAACTTCCTTGAGACGAGCGCTATCACCAAACGCTCTAAAAGCAGGGGTAAGACGATGATTCTTCAATATTTTAGCGATTCTATTAAACAATCATAACATTAAAACTCAACAGTGCTATAAGGCAGCTACACAGGCAATATAGGTTTACAAATAAAATTAGTTAATCAAAGTCCAACTGTAAAAAGTATCTCATACTCGAGGAACATATTCCCCAAAAAGTGGGACCAAAAACCCTGTCTGCCAGAATCACACACCGACGCTTCCCACAAACAGCCCCGGGTCAGAATGACCTCCAACCCCGACTCAAAGACATTCATATCGTTCAAGAAGGCGCTGTAAAAAGAGATGTACGAAGACTCTGCCTTCTTAAAAGAGCTGACGAGCTATGGACTAAGGTGAGGTTGTGCAGGCGTACTACTATAGGTCCTGGAACCTCAAGTGTAAAGAATAGAGTCATGACAGGATTCATTCAAAGTGTTTTAAGGTGTATGGAGGGATTTTCGTGGCCAATGTGATGGACAGATTGTTTGGGAAATCCCTCCTTAGCGATCTATTTATAATATTTATACTTATTTAGAAGTCTCAACTGACGGACACCACTAGTTGTCACCACTTCAGATGATGACTCTCCGTAGCCTATCACCTGGCTGCATGAGTTTGAGTTTATTGCCTTGATTAGTGAAATGTGATTTCTCAACATTCCCTTCACAGACAAACGTCACCATAGTACCTTTCGGTCGGCGGAGCTGAATGGTACTTTCAAGGCAAGATAGTCTAAGTAAACTTATCAGTAAAAACTCAAGACGAAAAGAGATCAGGTATGGTGAGATAGAAAAAATAGCAGGTAATTCACAGCGATAAACAATAATATTAACAATATACTCACCATATCATATGATTCTGTACTCTTAACAGATGGTGAGTCCAATGCCATCTCGATTGTTTCGTTTAGCTCAAAATCACCAGATTTTTTAATTAGATCATCATTACCAGAAGGTATATTGGGTTGAAAAGGTTTTCCTGCAAATATTTTATTTAAACCATCTGCTAGTGTATCTGGAACAGACATAACAGCATTGCTAACTGTTCGAAACGGTGTTAAAATTGCAGAAACCTATAAAAAAGAGGGCATGAAAATAAATAAACGTAAGTGGTGTTCAACCACTTGAATAAAAGAAAGACATCAACGCTGTCATTGTGAGAAATTTTCATGAATAATCGCCATCAAGATATTAATGAAAACGAAAAAAAATACATAGTTCAGCGAAAAAGCTCTTTTCGGTGGATTCATTTGCTTTAGTTGTACAATCGCGCTGATACACAATTTTTTTCATGAAAGAGGTTGCTAAAAACAGTGATGATTTGTCACAAACATAATTGTTAATGTTCATCAGTTGCTGTGGAGCCAAGGTACTTTGGTCGCTGGACGTGGATCCTGTCTAAAAGGGTTCAATAGCACTATCCAACAGCATGGTTGCAGAAAGGTAGTAGTAGTGGCTCTATACGGATCAGACACTTTGTCAACACTGATCATTCCATTTCAACAAACGCCTCCTTCAAAGTAACTGCGAAGTGAACAACAACCTGACAAAGGCAATACGCCTTCGTCCCCGTTGTATTGCCAAAGCCTTAGCCAATACAGTTAGAAAAAACAGAGTTATGCACTCATCTTCTTATCTACCTTTGTGTGCTATTTGGAACGTGGCAACTCGAAATGCTGCACTTCAGTGCCAAGTTCTGTGTTGAATCCAGACAGACATACAAAAGAGAATTATTCAACCACTTCTACTGTCTTGGTGACAACCTTGTTGATTTCTACTCACTTGATTGTTGTTTGTTTGTTGGCTTTTCTAACTCCTTATCACCTTTGTATCTTTTTACAACTCTTAAGTGATCCCACATTTTCCTCCGTTTCTATGCGTATCATGATTACAACTGATTCATTACATCACTCATCTTATTACGTAACTCCGACATACTTATTCAAATTGTCGTATGTATTGACTAACATAAACAACTATTATTGCGACAACTCAAAACTTTCATCACTACCTTCTTTCATGAGACAAACTGTATGGAAATTCTATTGGACAGTTAAAGAGCCTCTTCGCTGAACTACATGTTTTGTTTTCACTAAATTTCCTAAAGCTTTATAAGATTTCAATAAATCTGTTGGTACATAGATTGATCAGTAAGGAATAACCATTGTCATTTGTCTAGACCTTGGTGTTCGTGACGGTTTAATTCTATCAATCAACTCTGCAACATAGTCACCAAGCTATTACCATGAACTTTGAAATAATGTTGGATATTTTGAAATAATCAGCGAGAAGTCCTCAGAGGGGGTATGTGATCTAGGTTACGTATTTGTTTGTATTTGTCATCCAGGTGAACAAAATTTTCATATAATTGTATTATTTGAGTTGGGTGGTTTAATTGTTGTTAGGAAGAGGCAAAACACATGCAATTATCAGGTTATTATCATGTCGTTGACATGCATTTGTTTCTGCTTTCTGATTGGACGCTTGCAGAATTCCAAACTCTCAACCGGATTGGTTGATTTTCAGTCTACCTTATTTTTGTATAAATACAGTCACTTTTGTCATAAATAAATGATTCTGGTTTTACCGCTGATTATCGCGTGTTCTGCTTTACCAGTTAGGTGGGCACTGGTCAGTAGTTAAGCAGTTACCTCGAGACAAAGGTTTAGCATCATAACAATTGTGAAGCTTTTGAATGTCTTTCTAGAAAATATCGATTCAAAGCTAAGTTGAATATGAAGTGAACTTAGTGGAATTCTCCATGAATAATGAAATAATTGTATCTCCTGACAACCACTGCTCTATAGTGACGAACACACAAAAACACAATGTTCAAGCTCAACGGAACTCATAGAGTTCTTGCTCTCCTTCAAATCACCAAAAATATCCATTGAGTCATGAAGAAAATAAAAAACAAATTCAGCGAAGAAAATTTTCTTTCTCGACGAAATCATCTTCAGAAGCTGTACAGTCGTATTTATACTTACCAAAAATATATATATTGGTCTATTATTGAGTAATACAGGGTGGAGCTAGTTATATTGGCAGCAGAAAGCGCACACTTTCCAAAACGCATCTCTGAACATTATCCGGCGCGACTAGTAAAAGTACAATGCAAGACAATTACTAGTTCAATTCTCGAGCACTTGGTGAACTCAGGACACGTAGCTCCATCAGAGTCGGCCTTCAAGATCATCTACAAAGTGAGGCTGAATGGTACAAAGGGCGTCAGGTTTCGGCTTTTGTGTATGGCGGAGGCGCTGGCAATTCGTCAATACAACCCCGAACTTTGTATATAGAAAACGTTTGTCCAGTCTATTCTATTATTCCAGTCTATTCTTATTCTATTTTTGTCTTAACCTCTTCACTAGTCGTTCCCTGTAAAGAAAATTTTGACTTTTTATTTTTAACTTTTAATTTTAGTTTGCTTTTACTTAAGTAATTAACTGACTATTATCACTCTCATATGTTCCTTTTGCAGATTTTCACAACCTCTTTACACCTGTTAAATTGACACTCAACTACCACCTTTATTGTCACTCAATAGCAATTTTAACCTTATCAAATTTCTATCTTTGTGCCATCGTTGAGTACCACGTAATTTACAACATTTAATTTTTTACTTCTAAAGCCATTTCTGAGTAATTATACCAATTATGTCACGTCCTATTACTCAATAATAGACCGCTATACATTTTTAGTAAGCATAAATACTTTGGGAATCATCGGAAGTACGCACCCACTGGGGTTCGAACCCAGGACCTTCCGGTTACAAGGCAAGCTGGCTCACATACTATTCAGCCACTGGGACCCGATTCAATGGCCAGCCCATGAATTCTAACTTCTACCAATTCGTGATTTAGCGCGACCCCAACTAACCCTTACAAAACCAAACTATAAAAAATTGATCTGATGCTCGCTAGTGACTTCCTACAGGTTGAAGTTTCCTGAGTTCTAGTGAGAAGTCGTTACCAGTGAGGTCCAATTAGATGTCACGTGTGCGGATGGATGTCCAACCAACGACAATGGTTGGGGTCGCGCTAAATCACGAATTGGTAGAAGTTAGAATTCATGGGCTGGCCATTGAATCAGGTCCCAGTGGCTGAATGGTATACGAGCTTGCCTGGTAACCGGAAGGTCCCAGGTTCGATCCTTGGCAGTGGATGCGTACTGCCAATGATTCCCAAAGTAGGATGAAACAGCTATCTTGTACTCCCTGGTTTTCAATGGTTCCCAAGCTGATATCAATCCGTGATCAACTCGCAAAAACATAACTAACCCTTACAAAACCAAACTATAGAAAATAAGTATAAATACGACTGTACAGTCTCTGAAGATGACTTCGTTGATAAAGAAAATTTTCTTCGCTAAATTTGTCTTTTATTTTTTTCAGGAGCTTAAAGAGTTATTTATGTCTAATAAACATATTACCAGTTCACTGACCAAATAACACGAACAAATAAAAGGAATACCAATAGAATCACCCATATAAGAACTAACTACTGAGGGTGTTATTCAGACTGGAAACCCTAGCTCTACCAGTAGACAAAAAACAAATAAAAATCTGGATACGTTACTTAGATAACACATTTATTATTATTAAAAGTGATTGTGGAAATACAAATACAAATTAGTTAATAACGTGTTTAAAGAAACCAAATTCACAAGAGAAGGCGAACAAGACAAGCAAAATTTCCTTATTAAATGTCTTAACCGAAAAGTTTATTCAATCATTCAATCTACAATGGACCTAATTTATTTATTATTTTTTTGGTTACAACTTGATTCCACACCGTAGTTTTTGGTACAGGTATGCAATTTTCAGCATGTGACATCGGTAGCCCAAATTTTGCAGGCCAACCGTAGATATCGAGTGTGCGTCGGCGAGGGATCGAACACCGAACCATGTGCATGGTCGGCGACAGTCCTAACCGCTGTGCCACCGATTTTTATTTTATTTTCTCCCTCATCCTCTATTGGATTTCTACCCCCTTATTACCGCCACTGTTAACTTGACTCTAGTTTAATTTTAGGTGAATTCTATTCAATCCCTCCAATCACATGAAGTTATTCAGCTTGCTTATTTCCTACCTGATTAACGCCTTTTGTATTACGTAATATGTTAACTAAAATTTACAGTTCTATAAATACATCGTCAGGAAGAATTCGTTTTAGTGCAGAGAGAATTTAGTATACCTGTCAGTTTGTACAGCTTGGGAATGATATCGCAGAAATTTTTCTTATTTTCCTTGACTAAAATAGAGCAGTTATTTATTTATTTGTTATTCTTTTGGATTCCGAGTGGAACATACGGCTTCAACAGTACATCTTCACTTTGTTATATTCTCTGAGGTGGTCTTCAGCTAGCCCCAAAATTGTCCATAGTCTCTAATCTCCTCCTTATCACTTTCAAACCCACAACCCACTCGTCATTTCCCGTTCGTCTTACACTTGAGGGTCTGGTGTGAGATATCATTCGATGGTCTTATCAGTGTGCGTCTGATCCATCTCCATTTCCTTTGAAATATGTGTTGAGTAACAGGTTCTTGTTTGGTCCGATCCGACAGCTTCTTGTTGTTAACTTTTCTAGCTGGCCATCCGATCTTCAGTGTGGAGCTAGTGAAGGCAGCTGTTGATAAAAGTCTGCAGCTGACTGTTAAAAATGTTCTTCGTGACTCTGGCACCAGGTTTCTGACCCATATAATGAAGAAATAACTGAATTATTATTGGTTCTGAACATAATCCATATTTTCTTCTTTATGCTGAATTAGTTCAAAAAGCTTCTAAATTGATTTCAGAGTGATGAAATGTACCTTGCTTTGCCTATTCTGGTTTCGACATCTGCACGTATGCTATTGTTGTTTGTAGTGGAGGCGAAGTTTCCTAGATAAGTGAATAAAGTGACCTCTTTCAACTTCCTTCCGTTGATGGTAACTGGTACTTGTTGTTGCTGTTTGGTTGGTTATCTTCATCACCTTCGTCTAGAACAGAGAACTAATCATTTATAATACGAAAGTGAACGAATAGTTGTCAATTATATAGGGGAACATCAATTTGAGTTATCATATGCTCTGGAAACAGGGGAATATACATTTACTGATTTCCACAATTATTTCCCCAAGATGGTAAATACACCTTACTGATGATTGTCAGTAGACATGTGGCCTAAGTCCGAGGGTCTTCCACCAGATAACACTTCCAATCACTTGATATCAATTTAAAGCGCGCAGCGATGGTCAATCACCTTCCTTTGTGACCGACAGAATTTAGCCTGTATCAAGACCAAGGACTAGATATGTAACCCAGTAACCAAGTAACCCACAACGGGAAACTTACAGAATCCTTCGAAGTAAGGACGGGAGTGAGGCAAGGCTGTCCACTATAGCCAATGATTTTCCTGATTGCAGTAGATTGGATAATGCGACAGACAGCGGGCAGCGAGGAAACACGCATAAAGTGGACCCTCACGAAAAATGTGGAGGATCTGGAATTCGCCGATGTGATATATATGTCTGGTTTCCCACAAACTGGAAGATATGCGAGTGAAAAGCAACAAGCTGACAGAAGAAGCATCCAGAGAAGATAGGCCTTCAGGTGATCATTGAGAAAACAGAGGTGATGAAGATTCCTGGCTGCATGGAACAGCAACAACAAACAACAATCAGAATAAATGGGAGGAACCTGAAAGAAGCAACCTCCTTTACTTATCTACCTACCTGAGAAGCATCGTTTCGACTACAGGCGGACGGAACTGACGAGGATATCAAAGCAAGGATCGAGAAAGCAAGACAAGCTTTCATTTCTCTCAATTCTGTGTGGAAATCAACAGCACTCAGCATGATAATGAGAATAAGATCCCGATTTTCAACTCCAATGTGAAGTCAGTGCTACTATACACCGATCAGAGACTTGGCGCGTTATAAAGAGTACCTCAAACAAACTACAGACCTTTATCAACAGCTGTCTTCGCTCAATACTACTCAAGATCAGATGGCCAGAGGAGATCAGCAACAGGGATCTCTGGCAATGAGTGAACCAACCAGGAACCGATTGTGAAACAAATAGGCAGGAAGAAATGGAGATGGATTGGCCGTGCGCTGAGGAAACCATCAAGTGACATCACTAGACAAGCCAATGCTCGAGTGGAACCCGAAAGGGAAGCGGCGAGTTGACCGTCAGTGTAAGGGTGACTTAGAGGAGGTCATGTGAAGAAGAGATGAAAGCATGTGGGCAGACCTGGAGTCAGGTGAAACCTTTAGCAGAGAACCGAACGCAGTGGAGATGCGTGGATGAAGCCCAATGTTCCTCTAGGAATTAAAGAAAATAATAATATAATAGTAATGCAATGCTGGTTACCCCTGAGTCTATAATCAAGATTGTTTTTTTGTCTGCAGTATACAAACAAGCATACTTAGTCACCCTCTATCATTCATTGCATATACATATGTATATATATATAGGAAGCATAGGTTAGAAATAACGCAAATCATATCAAACTTACTATACGAGCTTGAACACGACCTCTTTCCCAACTATCAGGTTGTAAAAATTGAATACACAATGGCCGACTAGCCGGATGATTAGCCCAAAATTCACTGCTACACAAAGTCTATTTCAAAAGAAACAAAAAAAGAACAATACAAAACAAAGTTCATATGTGGTGTGTGTTACTGACCATATTTATAAGTAGTATATATGCAAAAATAAATATGTATATCAATGTCAAAATTATCGAAAGGCAGACAAATGGATTTAATGAATGGTCCTTGAGAAACAAATTAGTAAAGTTGACAGGCAGACAAAGAGTGACAGTACAGAAGATAAAGCAGGACAATACCAAAGATATATGTCAATTGGGATTCTATTAAATACCAGACGTATTTCGCCTATAACTGTGCATCCAGTTGTAAAGAAATCATTCTGCTACAAATTCTTCTGTCTTGTGCCGTCACATATATTATGTTCATTTATTTTGGAAAACTACGATCTTAACACTTTGAAAGTGTCCAGTGTAATGTTATACGGTAAATTCCCTCGACAACCAATGTTAGCTGACTGACACAAGATGGAAAAGAGAAATCTAGTGGTGGTCAAACGGAAACATGGCTTCATCAGTCAATGAAATCCACAATAGTTAGTTTAATCCAGCCAGCCAGTCACGTAGGGAGGTGACGATTGGCTTCCTGGTTGGGGTCATTGGAATGCTAAAACCAACGAAGACTGGAGACAATTTGTGATATAACTCGAAGCGATCGTTCTCAATGGCTAGCGCAGATGTATTCAATCTTTGTGATTTATAGGATCCAATAAAACTCCATTGTCCTTCCATATAACTACTGTTTTTTTCTCTCACTCACACTTCTGTTTATTGTCGCTCTTTAGAATCTCTCCTCAATCTCTTCTCTTGCTTTGTATGCTACATGGAGTGTGGTGCACATCTGTGCGAAGTTCTACGTTGAAACTAGTGAGTTTTTTTTATCTTAAAGCATGGTTGTTTCAGTCTCTCTAGTTATTAATGTTCTCTTGGGCTCCAAGTAGAAAACAGGACTTTGGCAGTACATTACTATTTCATGTTATCCGCTGCAGTCTTTTTTCGCTGGCTTCATGATTGCTCATTAACTTTCGTTTTCCCCTAACACGATCTCCGCCATGTCACACACACAAACGCTTAATTCGTCATTTTGCATTCAGGTTCTACTCAATGGCCTCAAGTATGTTGTCACTCGATGGTCCCATTGGTGTACATCGCAATTCGTCTTCACTTCTTCTACGTATTTGTTGGTTAATAAGTTCTTAGTTAGTTTGCTGTCTGGCGGAGTTCCTTGTTGCTTCTCTTTCCCAACCGGCAATCTAATTTTCAGTATTGAAGCAGAAAAAAAAACACCTGTTGATGACAGTCTATAGTCTGCTGGAAATGCTTCCGATGACCCACGCCAATTCTCTGTAGCGTATAGAAAAACTGACTTAACACTAGTGTTAAAAGTTCGGATTTTGTTCCATTACGTTGAACGGTGTAAATTTTCACACGAATTATAGGGTAACAAAAGCCTTTTGCTTCCTCGATCTGATTCTCAATGACACCCTCATCTGTAGCGAATGCAGTTGAAACGACATTGTCTAGGTTAAATCAATGAGGCGACTTCTTTTCGACTTCTCCCACTGATGGTAATCAATACTTCTTCTGCCTTCTCCATGTTCACCTGAAGTTCTGGTTTAACTACCGCTAACACGTCAACTTGTTGGTTTTCACGGGTATATTTTTTGCATTGTACGACATTAAACATAAATCAACCACCAAGTTGAGATTTTCCAGAATGGTTTCGTCAATCCCGCTTAATCTATTTTCTATTAAGCCGATATCACAAATCAATACAGACGTTTACACGTTTATGTGGTAATTCTATAATCACGTGATGTTTACGGGATCCGCTGATAGGTTGAAATAAATCTAAGGATGATCAGATCAAATCACTCCAACATTGTTACAAACTAGAGATAGTGTAACGACAGAAGGCAAGGGTCAGGCAACAGATCCTTTATTATGGAAATCAACACATATTCATAGATTTTCATGTACATATTACAGATTATTGTTAGCAGAAAAACAGTATTTTGATTGGTTGTTTCTCACAGAAAGTTAACCTTGAATCTCTTTGTGGCTGTTTCTTGAATGTCAGATCATCTATATGCTAACTGTATTCGCCTACGCAAAGCCTTTGTTCTCATTTTTCTCACGACAAATATTGGGGACATAAACATTGTCGTAAATTAGTGTCCACCAATTTTGGCTAACAGACACCTCCCACCAAAAGAGGATCAAGCAAGGCTGACTAGGTTTAAACTTCGTCATCGACAATATTCTTGAGAGAAAGTATATGAGCAGTATAAACCTGTTAGCAAAAGGCTATTCAATATGGTACACGCAGAAGATGTCCTCCTACTGTGAAATAATAGGTACGCTAATCAAGCAAAACTTAGTCAGTAGGCCATCAAGTTTCTCTTAAAACGTGATATACGCATGGCGCCATTGAAAATCAAAATAATTTTTCAAACTTGGTTAAAGTCTGCGTCTATAACTTCCCTTAATGAAGAATATTTAAAAACAGTCAATACGCCCATGTTCGTAGGTTGGTTGGTTCTGTGAGTACTGATAAACCTATAGATAATAACACATCTCAATGTTCATCCAAAGATACAACAGATTACGCAAATTTGAATGATGGACAGTCTTGGCAGAAAAAAATTACTGATTGTAAACTTCGATGCAGATATTTTTGGTTTTTCCAAACTGTAAATTTCTAAGGACATTCGTAACTGCAGCAGACGAAAGACTTGGTAAAAAAATGTTTATTTGGGATTTAGTATCTTTGTATAGCGAAATTATGTACACCTTATCTTCAATGCATCATTTGCACAGACCTTTCGTGTTGTGCTACTTCTCGCCTTCCTTCATATTGTGTTCCTTCCACCACTCCCATAAATCATTTGCTTTCTCTGACATTACAGCTATCTCCTTGCTATTTTACGTTTTTATGCTGATGAACGTGTCTATGTGTATTACTGGTAAATCTTATCAGTAGCACACGTCTCACATTATTTGCATATATCATTGGTGTATTCAAAGGATTACCTGTTTTTAATTTTCGGGGACAAGCTATCACTATAACAAAAAAATTGTATGGAAAATCCTTGCTGAACAATCTAATCAAAAACATAAACTTTTTCACCTAATAAACAATATGTCAGAAACTATCAAGCTTTCCAAAGAGGTTCAATCCGATGAAAATCAGTTGGCATTCCTGGACTGTTTAGTAAAAAGAAAATTAGATGGCAAATTTTAAAATAAACATTTTCAGAAAGCCGACAAATCCGGATAGTCATGTGGATACATATCACACATCACCCCCCCATCTGAGTAGATGGATGATTAGTATCGTGTTTCCTAAGAGGTTACCTTGAACCGTTGAGTTTGTTGTCGGCGTCTGTTGCTTCGTCTGCTTGTTGGGTTAGCAGGTTTTGCTTTGTCTGGAGTTATCTGATCTGCGTCATTTTGCCTTTCTGTTTTGTCGGTCGTTGGTAAGTTACAAGTATCTAAGAGTATATCCAGAGGTAGGGTTGACTTTGTACTGCTATGGATATTTGAGCTTCTTGGACGCAACTGATTGTAGTGACGGGTCCATAAATCACTAGCAACTTTCACGTCGCATATAACTCGTCCATGTCGTGCTGCGATGGAACCTTTATTCCAAGGTTTATGTCCTGCTCGATAGCCGCGGATATAAACGGCGTCACCAACATCAAATTTGTTTTTGTTTCGAATTGATGCGTTGGCACGGTTCCGTGCCGGTGGTAACATGGAATTATGAATCGTTCTGAGTTTGCGTAGCCGACAAAAACCATTTTTATGACCGACGATGTTGCACTTGCTGCAACGATGATTTTTGTATGGACAGGACTTCACAAAGTGCCACGCGCCACAATGCCAGCATGGTGATGGTGGGGTCTTCTTTGCAGTATTTTGTGAAGTCCGACGAGTATGTGTAGATTTACGCGGAACATTAGAAGGTTGGTCAGGACTGGATGATGAAGAGAGATTTTCGCTCTTTCGTAATGCACAAATATCAGAGCTTCTCGACCAGGTGTGTGTCTTTCTGCAAATTAATCAGCCGTTGATATTCATCAGCTATGTCATGTAATGTTAACTTGGGATTTTGTTCTAGCTGATTGAGCAGTCGAGTTCGGATATCTGTGAAACGAGGAGATTGGAGACTGCATATGAGGATCAAGGCTTTGAATTGATCATCTGTTAAGGACCTGAGTCGAAATCTCTCACATTCTCGGTTGACTGTGCCAACGTGAGTAAGAAAATCATCATTTTCATTCATTGTCAGCTTGAAGCAACGATAACGTATGCTGAATAGTGAGGAGTGGTCTCCAAAATGTTCACGCAGCAGCTTTATTGTATCATCGAGACACTTGTCACGTGGTTTTTGGGGTAAAATTAGGTTGCAGTACCTCTCATATTCTGTGGGACCCAATTTACGTAATAACACTCGCACCTTCCAAGCATCGTCTTGTGAGGCGAGATCAACAGTGAATAAATCCTCATATCGTTGATACCATGTGTCAAAAGTGACATTCGCATCTGGATCATAATTGAACTGTGAAATACTATTCACAATGCCGTCGACAGATGGTAGCATGGTATGATTCAGATTGCTTGATGGTGAAGTCGAACCAGTCTGTTGGTTGACGAACATTTCCATTAATTTCATTTGTCGTTCAAATAGTAATTCCAATTTATAAGAATCCATAGTATTCCCCGTCGCCAATTATGTTATGTACTCGTCGAGAATTTAATAGTCCTGACGCGGAAAGAGGGAAATCAGAAGACCACCAGGTTTACGATGATACTTGTATTTTCCAGACAAGGAAAATAAATGTCGCACTAGTGTGTGAGTGAAATGGTATGCAAAGTACGAAAATGTGTGTGAACAAGAATATATAAAAGTGTCCAAAGCAAGAGTATATATGAAAGTGGTTAATACACCAATAAGACAGTCATCTTAGCATGAATGGTTGTAATGTCATGTGATAACAAGGTCATACATGTTTATTTAGTTAGTGGACAGACAAAAGTATATTGTCAGTTATAATGGAATATCGATCCATATACACATAGCAAAATATAACAGACTGTCAAAAACAAAACACACGTCATGTGGATACATATCAGATAGATACCTAGATTACTATTCGGCTCATCCATTTATCACCAAAGTAACTGTGGCCAAGATTCTGATCAACAGAGTCAAACGTCTAGTTACTGAGGTGGAAGATATTAGCAAGGAACTAAAATTGGTTCAATCCAGTCTTGAATCAAATAATTATCCTAAAGCCTTCAGAAAAAGATATTTAAAATGTGAAGATAAGGATGAATCAAAACCTGCTGCTAAGAATTGGGTTAGGACAGCAGTGGTTCCTTACCGCAAAGAAACATCCGATGAAATAAAGCGAATCCTTAACGAACATAACATAAGAGTGTACTTTCGTGCATCTAACACCTTACGCTCATTACTGGTGAAGATTAAGGATAAAAAAGAACAAGAAAACCAGCAGAATTGCGTGTACCAGATCAATTGTGGGGATTGTAACGCAGCATATGTAGGAGAAACTTCCAGACAGGTAAATATAAGAGTGGAAGAGCATAAACAATGTCTAAAGGTGGTTCCAAAGAACTCTGCAAACTTGAAGAAGCTAGAAAACAACTCAACGATTGCACTACATTCATTAGAAACGGGACACGAAATCGACTTTGATAAGACTAAGGTTTTACAGAAAGGTTTTGGTTCATATCAAAAAAGACTGACTGCAGAAGCCCTACATATATGGGTGAATCCCAACAGTTTAAACAGACGTGGTGTGATGTTAGCTGATGCATGGCAAATCCTGACTAATAAATAAAATTGGATATGTATCAAAAACTAATCACACTTGGTCAAATTCCCAATGGTCTACGTCTTCTTATGGAGAGAACAACAAATTTATAAAAATTATATATTTGTAAAAATCTCAATTAATCATTTCAATTTCGCTGAGATTTTACAAATATAATTTTATAAATCTAATCACTTTGGACGTTTCAACTAACTTTAAAATTATAACCCACTTCTCTCCTAAGCTGTATATTATTTTCCTGACATCTGCATATCATACGTTAACTTGATACTTATTGTTTATCTTTGCCACTGTTTAATCCCTAATTGTAACGCTCCTCTTTATGATCGTGCGTACTGTTATGTTGCTGCTGCTGAGTGGTTAACAGTGGTTTTCCCCGTCGCCAAATTGTTATGTACTCGTCGCCAAATTATTGCTATGTACTGGTCGAGAATTTAATAGTCCTGACGCAAGAAAGACGGAAATCAGAAGACCACTAGGTTTGCGATGATACTTCTATTTTCCAAACACAAGGAGAATGCAAAAGTGGTATCACACCAAAGTGTCACACAAGATTGTGAGAGCGAAATATATATGTGAATGTTCAGACAAGTGTGTGAACAAATCATTAGACAGTCTTAACATGAATGGCTAATTATAATGGAGTATCGATCCATATATACAAAGCAAAATATAGCAGACATGTCAACAACCACACATATAATATGGATATATGTCACCAAACAACGGACTGTCAACAAACACTCATATTATATATAATATAAGGGGAATATACATTGTTAAGGGAGACAGGTTCATCAAAGTGAAATGGTCACATACTAAGAGAGCAAACAGAAAGAGAGACCACCATATATATATATATATACATATGGATACATATCACGTACATTGATAAAGTGTTGTAGGGTATGATTTTGTTCGATTTGGTTTTATTCCTTTGTGTTCACAGTGGAAGATAGGGCTTCAAGCTACAGCTCCAAAGTTTCAATAGCAGTGTTGTTTATTTTTACGGGATGGGGTTGCTAGCCGCATATGCCCAACCTTCCTTCTTTACTTTTTATTTTTTTTTAATTTTTGATTGCAGCTTGATTCCACACCGTATTTTTGGTACAAGTATGGAATTTTCAGCATGGATATCGGTAGCCTAAATTTTGCAGGCCGACCATAGATATCAGGTGTACGTCGGCAGGGGAGCGAACCTCAGACCATGTGCATGGCCGGCGAGAGTCCTAACCACTGTGCTACCTACGCAGTCTTATTGCTGGCTAAGTGACGTTTAGGAGTGTGTCGACCATGGATCGATCTCCGATCCACCTGTATGGTTGGCGAGCATTCTACTCCTATGCTTATTAGACTATAGAAAATCATCTACAGTCATATAAGCAAGCTATGAGAATGGTTTAACTCACGCTCATATCGTCTATGTAGCTTATCCTGCGTTTACTATAGGATTTATGTATAATAAGCAAGACAGCCTAGATGGGTGCTATTAGGCCTAGGACAAGCTCAAAACTCAATGGTGACAAGTACTAAAACCATTTTTACGGTTTCCTTAGTCATTTGGAAGCGTTTTTCGAGTGAATCAAGGCAATTCTGACGTTGGATTGCTCGCGGGAAGTGTTGGTGTTGTTCTCGTGTCAAGAGTTTTTCACCTCACCTTTTCGGGAATATTTTACTTGATTTTAAGTGTTCGTCTTGTACAAAAACTGGAATGCATAGCTGTCTCACAGCACTGTTGAGGTAAATTTGAGTTACTGATGTTACTATCGTTGAACAGAACCTCACACACACACATAGATTACGATCTCAAACAATCGTCTTTTTTGGCTGTCTTTCGAGCATTTTATGACTCTAGGAAATTTTGAACAGCTATATGGTAGGACGCTACGATCGGCTCCCTGAATTTAGACAACAATGAGTCAGTTGTGGTCGCTATAAGTAACATTATGGAAGCAATCTTAACATCGAGCTGAATGTAGGAGATAATGAAAAGAATGCAGAGGACTGGTAAACCAGGAAAATATACCAACTTATAGAGATATTAACTCTTGGTCTTAGCTTTGTTGACAGCTGTAGGTTATCCACCAGTCTATAGGAATCATGACTAAAGATTTTCGATGTAATATGGTTCGGAATGTGTGCGTCGGTGGTCCAGTAGTAGAACACTCGCTAACTACGTCATACGTGGTCTGGGGTTCAAATCCCGGTCAACGCACTCCTTAATCTAACCTAGTTGGAATTAAGCTCCTTAAGGAGGAAAGGTTGGGCGTGAGGCTGGCAAACGCACCCGGGAGAAAAATGATACCACTGCCACCGAGACTTCAAAGATAAAGCTTGAAGCCATATTTTCCAACGGAAAACGGGAAGGAATAAAAAAAAATGGCTTAGAATCCCTAGTAATGGCTTCGATGTAGACAAATTTTCCCTTCAATTAAACTGTATTATTCTATTTGTTTATTAATTTGCTTCGGATCTTTTCCCTTGGTCCTCTGGCATTCTACAGTCTCCGAATTTTTTTAATTATTTTCTCTTCTTCTTGTCTTTCTTACTACTTGATGTTTTGATATGATATGTGGAGTTTTAGACTTCTATGCATCCATACAAAGTTCTATTTTTGTTAAGCATTAAGTGTAAACTTTCGGTTAAATCTGATAACTTCTGAATGACATTCATTGATTAACTTCACTCAAGGGCATTTCGTGTAAAAGTGTACGTAATGCCACATTCAATTCAACAACTATCTTACTGTACAAGTCTATACATTATTTAGTAAGTAAAACCGTTGTAGAAGCCGAACTACTTCTGCATTACACATTATAACTTGATAAAGAAAGACTCAACAACAATTGTAAAGTTAGGCCATGAATAACTTAAACATACCTTCAAATAGATATTAAGTCCACGACGACGTTGTGCTAAAAACTCGGGACTCATATTGTTAAATGCCATTTTTGAAGGTAATTTTAGTTCATTAATTCGACCACACTAAAAAGATAAAGAACAAAGACTTATAATAGACAAAAAAGAGATAATAGTATCAGATGGTTGGAGGCGATCGGCAGGAAGCCTTCCACGTAGGTTTCGTGCTAGTTGGCACTTACCAGTCAGCAAGGCGTATTTACAATCTTGAAGAGGAACTCATGCCGCTTCTGAGATTCGAGCCCGCATCACTCAGTGCTGCAGTCAGAGACGTTACCACTGAGCTATCTCAGAAGGGACACGAGTTCCTTCAAGGTTGCAGAAACGCCTTGCTGAGTGGTGAGTGCCGATTGGCACGAAGCCTAGATCAGGCTGGACTTCTTGCCGATTGCCTCCAACCATCTAATATCATCAAATCAATATGCTCTGTGATGGTGAGCTACCTTAGAATAGTGGCCACATCGCAAACCTGACTGATAGAATTCAGTCTGTACCAAAGAAAGGATTAGACACATTACACTAGTTACTGACTAGTGTCCAATCAATTAATAATTATGATAATAACAATAATTTTCCATATGTGACTCAGTACGGATTTCATTAGTTAGAAGTAAGTTTACCAAATTAACATCAGTTGAAGATCCCCTACAAACCAAGGAATAATAGACAACAGCTATTTCGTTCCTATTTGGCACTCTTCATCATCACATACTTATGATCTCGACAGGAATCTAACCCAAGACCTTTAGGTTAAAAAGACGAATCCATTAACTATTCAGGCACTGAGATAGAACCCAACAGTCATAAATTCTAACTCCTATCAATTCAGTATATATACAAAGTAGCAGCGCTAGTCAATGTAATCAGCGAGTATTTGTCATCAAACAAAACTTGGTGGACTCCACTCGTCTTACTAGGAATGTAGGCAGCTTCAAACCGTTGAAATCTGATTAGCAGCAGAATCCAAGAGGAGAATCATCCCATTCTTGGGACACATTACCTTGGCACAATAAAACATAAGTAACTTCCAATTATTAAGGTCAAGTTAAACTTTAAGCACCACTAACTACCATTGAGACTCACGAACGTTAGTTCAATGTTGTATAGCGCTTGATTCATTTTAAATGCGTGCCCTAACAAGATTACGATTGCAGTTCGAGGAGGACAGTGTTTTCCAGTATTACCTGGATTTAGGGTTGCTCTGGAAGGAGCGAACTTGTTCGTGTGGTGGTGTCATGACTTTAAAAAGCTATAGCAGGTCAACAGCATTGTTGTGCAATATGCTTGAAGCGAGTTAGCATTAGAGAGGGTAAGCTGATAATTTTAATATTTTGCAGGAACTTTTTTTGCAAGGTCACACCTCTCCTCGACGCAAATTTCGTATATCTGCAACTCCTGGGTCTTGAAGCAGCCAATGAGAGCCGCATTTGCTGGGACGGAGAGAATAGCCTCGTCTCAACAGTCATTATTAATTCATGTGTCATACAGAGGCAATCGTTTGAGCAACCAATGTGCCAAAATGAGACAGATAAAATTTGGGACAAGATATATATGCATTTATATATTAACGAGAAGTCATGTATACAAGAAGATAATAATAGTAATTATTATTTTTATTACTACGATTATTATTTTAACTTACTCTGTTCGTAATAAAGGAGTGTAATTCAACAAAGTGCCTAAAACGGCGTAAAGTATTCCATGATTCAGATAGTCCAGTGGATTGCGAAATCCGATTAACTTTGACAGTATAAATCACATAGGAATCATGCATTATTTCTAAAGGAGGAAAAATATTTAGAAAAGTTAGTCAGGGAGAATAAAACGACATCACAAAATACCACCTTCAGAAGTAAATACATCAAAACATGTAATGACTGAAGTTCCCCCCCCCCACACACACACACACAAACCCCTCTGAATTTCGAAAAATAATGTGTGAAATGATGAAGACAATTTGAATACTAATAGAAATGAAGTGACAGCATGAAACATGCTATAGAGAGTAGGAACTACTGTACAGAATAAAAGTTATGCAAGAATAACATTTAAGAGCTGTGGCAGAGTATATAACTCCACATTACATAAGATTGCTTGACGTAACACAAAGTGACATTAGTACTTGAATATCTTATTATAGTTTTAACTCTGATGTTTCTTTTCAAGGTTTGACTTCGACGGGATTTGAATGACATCAAGATTGATCACGAACAACTGATTTAAGTTAAAGAACCACTGGGAATTAACAAGCAGTACTGGATACCAGTTTTTTCTTTCTTTTGTTTAAGACTGTTTAGCAGTATCCAAGACATTCAGGTTACAAGACAACCTCTCCTGGGTTCAGTCTCTTGGTGAAGAGCTATGGGTTCGTGAAGAAGGATAAAGTAGCTATTCACTACTTCCTGCAGGATTTCAATGGTTTTCTAACTATAGTTAGTTTGTGATCAGTCTGACTGCTCCTCTTTTACAGAAGTTATGTGTCCTGCCTTTTAAAGAAAATCACTTTTTGAGCTGCTATGAAATGCAACTAGCATGAGTCGTGCTTTTTTCTCGATTTTTATAATTCTCATAGAACATTTTATCTAACAAACTATCATGGACGAGTTTCTGGTACCTACATTTTATGAAGACTAATGACATTCATCTAATTCAATTTAGACTTTCCCGTCGATTGACTGGACTGAAGTGCTCGGTTTCAGGTTGACATGTCGGCTGCTTGTAAAGATAACTCGATGATGTCTGGTCATGTTACTTGTAGTCAATTGGCGGATGGTGACTAGTAGTGGAATTCAAGATGGTTCAAACCTCGGTTGGAAAACCATCACTCGTTGAGGAATGTAGATATATCCAGATGACGAGTCCAAAATAGAACGAAATGTGCTTCCTGAATCGCAGTGCTAGCCAACATCCACCACTTGACTTCAAACAAATGATAATAATAAGTTTAGATAGCTGGGACCCAGTGGCTGAAAGTCAACCGCCAGCGAAACCGATGAACTCCATCTCCACTGGTACATGAAAAATCCAACCCGGATAACTAACCAGCTAACTAAATACCTGAGTGACGTCCATTGATTAGTGATTGTGAAAGTAACAGTGTAGTGTGTGCAATCGGTTAGGTTTTGTATGTAATCTACACGTGTGTATGTATCATCTACACGAATATTGATGGATTGAATACCAAAGAAAAGAACGATTTTTGTGAAACGACATAGAAAACATGAAAAGAAAACAAAAGAAGCACAATGAAGGTGACATATGCACAAATTGTGATCCTAATTTAAGGTACTATTTGTCTGTCTCTGTACATCGAGTTGTCAATAAAAGATTCCGTTACCAAATACTATTGTGTTCCGCTGTTACAGTAGTAGTTTATCAGTTTCATTTAATTTTAGAAAACAGTACAAAAAAATCCCAGCCTATACACTAATACTTCTATTTAGCTTATTTTACGTAATCACAGAAATACATAAAAGTCAATATTGACAATAACAACTAACTTGTCATCTAATTCGCATATAATTTAGCGAACCCTATCTCACTGACCGATAGTGACTGGAAGCTATTCATTTCTGCTATATTTTGAAGAGACTTTAGAGTATGAGACCCAGTGAAGACATTATCATTCACTAGATATCTAGGTACAACGAGATGAAGAGTCCAAAAATAATTAGGGAACACGTGTCTTGGAATCCCCTTTTGACGATTACTATAGCCCTAATTCGCTGAAAATTTATCGATCTGAGGTAGTAGTAATTTGTAGGTTTCACAAAACACCTAAATTATTTCAATGTCGAAGTCTTGAAGAATGACAAATCTTGTTGATGAAGCGGTTAACAAGAAAAAAAATCAATAATAATATTTACCTGTTCGAGTAATTTCAGCTAAATAAAAATCATCAGTAGAATTGAGATTAGCATTTCTGGGGTTCATCTATTCACAAAACAAAAAAAAAACAGATCGCAAATAAACTTTCAAATATTCATGAATACATTTCAGATACGAAAAGACACTTGATTATCTTTATTGACGAAATCATCTTCAGAGACGGTAGCTACTAGATCAATTCTCGAGCAATTGGTGAACTCAGGACACGTAGCTCCACCAGAGTCGACCTTCAAGATTATCTACAAGGTGAGGCCAAATGGTACAAAAGGCGTCAGATTTCGACTTTTGTGTATGGCAGAGACGTTGGCGATTCGTCAATACAACCCCGAACTCTGTATACAGAAAAAGTTTATCTAGTCTCTTATTCTTCCATGGTCTTAACCTCTTCATTAGTAGTTCCGTGTACATTTTTAATTTTATTTTCAGTTTGCTTTTACTTTAATAATTAATTCACATGTTCCTTTTGTACATTTTCTCATCCTCTTCACATTTGTTAAATGGACACTGAAATACCTTTATTCTCAATCAATAACAATTTAAAACTCAGCAAGTTGAAGATGAGGCAGTAACTCATCGAAGAAGACATTGCGAAGTGGTCGCGCTATATCGTGAATTGGCAGAAGTTAGAATTCAAGGCCCATTGGATCGGCTCCCAGTGGCTCAATGGTCTACGAGCTCGCCTTGTAACCAGAAGGTCCTGGGTTCGAACCCTGGTGGTGGGTGCGTACTGCTGAAGAGTCCCAAACTAGGCGGACGAAACAGCTGTCCAGTACTCCCAGGTTTTCCTGTGGTTCTCTAACTGATGTCAGCTCATGATGCAATCCTCCATGCAATTTTAAACTCGTCAAATTTCTAACCCTTTCTTTCTTTGTAACATTGAGTATGACGTAATTTATAACTTTTATTTCTACTTTCAAAGCCACTTCTAAGTAGTTATATCAATTATATCACGCCCTATTACTCAATAATTGACTATTATACATTTTTAATAAATATAAATACGAATGTACACAGCCTGTGAAGGGAAGCGGCGAGTTAGTCGTCCAAGGGTAACTTGGAGGAGGTCATGCGAGGAGGAGATGAAAGCATGTGGACAGACCTGGAGTGGGGTGAAAAAGTTGTCAGAAAACAGAGGGCAATGGAGGTGCGCAGCTGAAGCCCTATGTTCCTCTAGGAACTAAAGGATACAATAATAATAATAATATACAGCCTGTGAAGATGATTTCGTCGATAAAGAAAATTTTATTTTTAAAACATTTAGTTCCCTTTATGAATTTAGATAATGCAATAAGAGGACGTAATTTGTCTGAATCGTGTGTATTGTATTTGCGCACAACACATTTCAATATTCTGATCACACGCGGAATTGTCATAGGAATGAATATATAGGATATTAATAAAAAGTTAAGAGGTGAGGAAATAGACTTAGGTCAAGTTAAAAGGACATATTCAAGGTGAAAATAACAATTAGGACCACACACACTTAAATAACAGAGGTAATAGTACGTACTTACGGCGAGCTGTCATCTGAACTGGTGACGACCAGTGGTGTCCGTCAAGGATGCCCATTATCTCCTTTTCTATTCAACTTCATCATAGATGTGTTAATGGACTTAACCCTAAGTGACTTCAGCGACTCAGGGATTGACTTGCTACCAGGGAATAATCTCGTTGACTTGGAATATGCAGACGATATAGTCCTTCTAGGCGAAGACGCTGACGAAATGCAGAGTCTTCTAAACACCTTGAGCCGCAATCTACGAGTGTTTGGAATGCGATTCGCTCCCGCCAAATGCAAGATGATGTTACAGGACTGGACTACATCGACGCCTAGTTTAAAAATAGGAAGTGAAGTGGTAGAGCACGTTGACCGCTTCACTTATTTGGGAAGTACCATCAGCCCCAACGGGTTGATCTCTGACGAAATCACAGCACGAATACAGGGGGCTCGTTTCGCATTTGTTAGTTTACGCCGACTCTGGCGTAGACGAGATGTTCGACTGGCTATCGACCAAAGGGCGGGTGTACTGCTCATCAGTCCGCTCCGTCCTCCTTTATGGTTGTGAGACCTGGCCACTGAGAGTGGAAGACATGAAACGCTTAGCCAGCTGTCTGTGATCATAGGTGCCTGCGCTCTATTTCCCGTGTAAAGTGGCATAATAAGGTGAGCAACATTGAAGTTAGCCGTAGAGTTCTAGGTAAACAGGGGAAATCAATCGATGAAGTCGTGAAGTTACAAAGACTGAGGTAATAGAAAAGATTTGTAACTCAGGTGGATGATTTGGAATTAAACCAAGGAGCTCAGAGAACACTATCAATTCCAAAAGACTGAGGTGGTTAGGACATGTGTTACGTATGCCTAGTCATCGCCTTCCTCGAAAATGGGCAATGTTAGCGGATATAGGGTCAGGCTGGAAAAAAGCTAGCGGTGGTCAAACAAAAACTTGGCCTCACCAGTCAATGAAATCCACAACAGTTGGTCTAAGCCACGTAGGAAGGTGTAGACTTCCAGGCTGGGGTCCTCGGGACGGTAAAAATCTATGGTTGGAAACCATTGGTGACATGGCTCAAAATCGTTCTCAATGGCTGGTGCAGATGCATCCACTCCTTGTGACTTATGATATCCAATGAAACTGTTTTGTTCTTCGTTATTACTCCTCCTTTGTCTCACACCTCTGCTCACTGTTTCTATTAGGCTTTTCTTGTACTTTCTTCTCTTGCTTCGCGTGCTACACGGAGTGTGGCGACTTGAACTGGTGCACATTTGTGCAACGTTTTATGTCGAAAACAGACAGACAGAATAGTGCGTACATCTGCTATGGTATCAAAACAAAGCGAAATTGACCAAGGAAGGTTTAGTGTAATGACGAATTCTCTTTTTGAACGCATAAAGGTGGTTTAAACTTTCTAATTGCCAACTAGGGCTTCCACAAAACTTTAAGATACGCCCAAAACACGTTTTATAGATAGGTTTAAAAGATGTGTTAACGTAAATTTTATGTCCGGTCTCTATAATATGTTTCCCAATAGAAGAGCTAGGTCTCCTGTTTTCACCATTAATCTGTTCTGAAGATTCCATTTATTTTTGGAGCCATTTAGAAATATGCTCTGAAGCAAGTCCTTACTTACAGAGATCGATGTGTCTTCCCTACGTATGTGTGTCCAAACCAAAAATTTTCTTTGTTGAATTTGTCTTTTATGTTCTTCATGATTCAATGTATATTTTCAGTGATTTAATTAACGACTGAAATTTCTCTTGTATTTCACGTAATATATATACACGTAATATATATATACAACTCTCACAGCATTATAAGCTAGCTTACTTTTATTTCCAGATTCAGGATTTTATACGAATTTCATTGAATTTCAGTATGAGTTAGATCAATAAGTGATATATATATAACAATTAGAGAAATCTTAAAAAAACAATGCACCACTGTGTAGCATTGCACTGATTTAGCATAAAGAATAAAATTTAGATTTTCAACACCAATGTCAAGTCAGTCAATTCTTCTTCTATATGGATCATAAAATTGGTCAGCACTTCATGAAAAGTGCTTCCAATAGGTTATACACACTTAAATCAACAGCTGGCAAGAAATAATTAGGAACAAGAAACTCTGGCTGGGAACAAACCAACCAAAAGCCGGTTGCTCAACAAATATGTGGAAGAAAATTGAGATGAATCGAGCAGATGTTGAGGAGACTGTCGAATGACAACACACGCAATGGAAACCATCACTCGAGTGGAGTCCGAATGAGAAGTGACGAAAGGGTCGTCAGTGAGAGGGTGATATGGAGGAGATGAGAGATTACCCAACTGAAGAGGACAGCACCAAAGAGAACACAGTGGAGATGTGTTGTTGAAGCCCAATTTTCTCACTCGGAACCCAAGGGAATAATAAGTATAGTAATAATATAATATTAGGTATTAAAAGTCAATGGACGTAAAACTGTCTGTCTGTCTGTTTTCGACATAGAACTTTGCACAAATGTGCGGAAGTTCAAGTCGCCACACTCCGTGTAGCACGCGAAGCAAGAGAAGAAAGTACAAGAAAAGCATAATCGAAACAGTGAGCAGAGGTATGAGACAAAGGAGGAGTAATAACGAAGAACAAAACAGTTTCACTGGAGATCATAAGTCACAAGGAGTGGATGCATCTGCACCAGCCATTGAGAACGATTTTGAGCCATGTCACCAATTGTTTCCAACCATAGATTTTTACCGTCCCGAGGACCCCAGCCTGGAAGTCTACACCTTCCTACGTGGCTTAGACCAACTGTTGTGGATTTCATTGACTGATGCCAAGTTTTTGTTTGACCGCCGCTAGCTTTTTTCCAGCCTGACCCTATATCCGCTAACATAGCTCGTCGAGGGAGGCGATGGCTTGGCATACGTAACACATGTCCTAACCATCTCAGTCTTTGTAACTTCACGACTTCGTCGATTGACGGAAAACTGAGAAAACATAAGTCAACAAAGAGATCTCTTTTCCTAACTAACTTCAAAGCTGTACAATTATTTAGGCGGTTTATATATACAGTGTAGATTAACAACACAGGTCAAAGGTCACTGTCTCAGTAACAAAGTAAATCAATGGGTATCAGTAATAATTATGCTTGAAATATTAGGAATAGTCTTACGTAACCAAGAGGGTTGACAAGTAATCAATTAAGTGATAAATAATCACTTGGAAATAATTGATAAGGAACGGGAGAACAAAGGATTGAAAACGAATTGCCAAAAAACAAAACATAAAACGGACTACATACAGTTCATCCTATATTTACTCAGCAAAACCAAGAAGGAAGCCAAAAAAAATGAGTACTGAGGCCATGGTAGTAAAAGAGGGTGGATAAAATGTTTCTGAACATGAAATTCAGGTTTCTCCTTGAGGATGTGGGCAAAATTCTTTCGAACAACTTGGTTATACTTTATATATGACTCAGAAAGAAGTCTCAACTAGTGTTGCATGATCAGAAGTAATAATATGCTCCAGAATTGACCTATTGACTGTTCTACGTTCTTCTTTTGACAAACA